CCCCCCCCCCCCCCCCCCCTCCCATGTCCCACTCCCCCTCCCGCCTCCCGCCTTCTCCCGCACCGCTGACCCCAGCTCCGCGCATCCACCTCCCCCGCGCCCTCGACGCAGGGCGACGTCACGTCCGTCGCGCGCTCCTCGACCATCCCCGCCGCGTCCGAGACGCCCACGCCGTCCGCGCCCGCCCCGCTCGTGTTCCGCTCCGACCCGCGCATGGTCACGGCGTTCGACGGGCTGCCCGAGGGCGCGGAGGAGATCAAGGCCAAGTTTGGCGTCGCGTAGGGCGAGGGCGTGAGACACTGTACAATACCACTTCTGCATGGCTGCTTCGAGGTTATGGGCATCACTGATCTGTCCTGGGAGGGATATGCAGCGCAAGCCTCCGCTTTGACATCTGCCTGACAACTGTCTGATGGGGTTCACTTGCCCATACCGTCTACAACGTGCGAAGGGAAAGACATGTAACCCTGGTCAGCGAGTCATGTCCAAGTGAGTGTGTAGACTTCAACAATGATGATCGCGTATGTCTCTTGACCACTCGCCTTCACATCAACACTTTTGATGGGCTTGTACAGACCACGAGTCAAAGTTTGGCGCAGTTCAAGTGTAGTCATAACCGGCAGACAGTGGCTGGGCATCCAGATCTGCCGGCACATCTGCAGCATGCAGCTCATGAGGACGCTTCTGCGGATATTGTGGCGCCAATCGCTAACCGCTAAGGTGGAGGTGGAGGCGATGGAAGGACCGCCAGCGTCTCTGCAGTACTGGATCTCGACGGGGTAGACTGACCCCGCGCGATGGGGTAATGGCCGCAACGCCGATGCAGAGGTCGGCGTCTCGGCACAACTAAACAGACAACAGCTCATGCTGTCTCAGTTGGTAACAGTATGGAGGTGGAGGTGATGGCTGGGCATCTTGCGGCTCTCGGTGTCTTGGCTTCGCGGCCTCCACTTTCCTCTTCCACCAAGTCTGCCTGCCTGCCCGCCCGCCGCACATGTCGCCGTCTGTGGCCCGCATGGGCTCTGAGGGATCCGGTCCGAGGCCAGCAATCGTGAGAGCGCGGGTGACTGTGATGGACGAGCCGACTATCGGGGGATGGATGATTGGCCGACGGAGAGGCTGATTGCGACCTCCACTTTTGTATTCCCGCTTAAACAGAGCCGACGCGAATCGACGACCGGTCTTTACCGTCCTCCAACTCCAGGCACGGCGTCGGCCCGGTGCATCTCCACTCCTCCGCCACCTCGGACGCGCAGCAGCACGCCACTTGATCATCTTCCCAACCTCACTTGCTTTTTGCTCCATCTCTTCTTTTGCATCTTCCCACTTTCATTCACATTCACACACCATGGCACCAAAGGAGATCGACGGCGCCGAGGTCGCAAAGCACAACAGCCGCGAGAACGTATGTCGGCTTGGAGGGGTGCTGAGGGACCTTCCCCCGCCGTGCCATCGTGGGAGCGGCGGAGCTGCTCCGCCCCGCTTAGAGATCTGGCCCACAGGCTGACCCCAGGGCGTGTGGATTGTGGTGCACGACCACGTTTACGATGTGACCGACTTCCTCGACGTGCGTCTCAGTGCGATCAAGCTGACAGGCAGGAACACCCCGGTGGAGCCGAGATCATCCTCCGCTACGCGGGGAAGGATGCCTCGGAGGAGTACGACCCGATCCACCCTCCCGACGCGATCAAGGAGAACCTCGAGCCAGAGAAGCAGCTTGGTCCTCTCAAGAAGGGGACGCTGAAGGAGGAGGCTGCAGCCAAGGTTGAAGAGGTCAACCCTCCGCCTGCGGCCGTCGCTTCGGGCGGTGGTGGCACTGTGGCAGCGCCGGAGCCGTACGTGAAGCCCGGTCTCGACCAGATCCTTTCGCTGCACGACTTTGAGGCGGTTGCGCGCATGACCATGTCTCGCCGCGGGTGGAACTACTACTCGTCTGGAGCCGATGATGAGATCACCATGCGCGAGAATTACAACGCATACCAGCGCGTGTGGTTCCGCCCGCGCGTGCTCCGCGACGTCGGCAAGGTCGACTACTCGACCAAGATTCTCGGCTTCGACTCGTCCATGCCGATCTACATCACCGCCACCGCGCTCGGCAAGCTCGGCCACCCCGAAGGCGAGGTGTGTCTCACCAAGGCCGCGCATGAGCACAACGTTATCCAGATGATCCCCACGCTCGCCTCGTGCTCGTTCGACGAGATGGTGGACGCTGCTGCGCCAGGTCAGGTCCAGTTCCTTCAGCTCTATGTCAACTCGGACCGCTCGCGCACTCGCAAGATAATCAAGCACGCCGCAGAGCGTGGCGTCAAGGCCCTCTTCATCACTGTCGACGCACCGCAACTCGGCCGTCGTGAGAAGGTGAATTGAACCCCACCTACCGGCTGACAACAGGACATGCGCACAAAGTTCGAGGGTAACGCATCGGCGCACCAGACCAAGGGTGGGGACAAGGTTCAGCGCGACTCGGGTGCCGCGCGTGCGATCTCGTCGTTCATCGACCCGGGGCTGAACTGGAAGGACATTCCGGAGCTGCGCGAGGCGGCAGGGAAGATGAAGATTCTGCTCAAGGGTGTGCAGTGCTGGGAGGACGCAGTGCTCGCCGCCGAGGCGGGCGTGGACGGCATCGTGCTTTCGAATCACGGAGGTCGCCAGCTCGACTTTGCCCCTGCGGCAATCACCATCCTCCCTGAGGTCGTTCAGCAGCTGCACCACCGCGGATTGCTGCACAAGGCGGACGGGACGCGCTTCGAGATCATGATTGACGGCGGTGTGCGCCGTGCCACAGACGTCCTCAAGGCTGTCGCGCTTGGTGCGACCGCCGTCGGTATTGGCCGCCCCATGATCTACGCCATGAGCGGGTACGGCACCGAGGGCGTCTCCCGAGCCCTCCAGATCCTCAAGGACGAGTTCGAGATGAACATGCGTCTCATTGGTGCCCCGAAGCTCGAGGACGTCAACCCCTCCATGGTCGACATTAGCGCGCTGCGCACCCCCAACGTGGGGCCCACTGCCTACGCCACAAACTGTGAGTTGAGAGCGGATGAATTAACTGACGTTCAGACGAGCTCATGATGCCTGCCGGCATCAAGTCGAAGCTTTAAGCCTTGTATAGATCCGATAGCTCCAGCAGATGTACTGATACGACATTGCATCTTTACAGTGACTAGCCGCTCGATATCTGCGGGTCACTACTTTAGCTTAAGCCTTGGGAGATCCTCTTAACATAAGACCGAGTCTTGCTATTGGAAGACGTGACCCGATACATGTAGTCAGGCGCGCCTCGAGGGGTAAGATGCCAAGGCTGGGACACACTGCCCAAAGACATTGTGCTAGGTGTCATCGCCGAGGTGATGGGATCATGAGTAGAATGTGTTGTGTCGGTTAGGTATACACTGCTGTGTAATGCCGAAGTTTCCGCTGATATGAAGATAATCCCTAGTAGTTTCTAGCGCAGCCCATCGCAGCCGAACAGAAGAGCGGACAACAGCGATCAGGAGCGGTCGCCCAACGACCCTGCATTCGGGCGGGGGATCATGACTGCCCACTACATGACATCGTGTGCTACGCAATCGCTTAACCCGCGAGGTTATCACGGCAAGGCGTGGCTTCAAAGTCCTGAACTTTAGATATCCCGATCCGGAGTCATGGGAATCGCCTCTGTTTGTGAGCCTGCGTCGAGTCTGGCTGTCAATCAGCTGTCACACGAGACCCTCGGGGCTTGGTCGTCGAAGTGCAGCCAAGTCCGGCCGGTCGGCCGTTCGCTCTCCAGACCCACGGCGATGACGACCACGAGTCTGTGGGCGGGGACAAGCCTTCGGCTTCGCGTTATCTTCGGGAAAACCTCAACAAATCCGCGAAAAGCCGCCACCTGCCGCGCGGCGACCTATTTCGGCGACCACATGTTCACCCCAAGCCCTAGTTCGCCAAGGCACACTACGCATGAGAATATATGTATCTCGAATCTCCGCCCAACATCAGCTCAAGCGGCGCGTTTCCCGATCGCGCCTATATGCCAAGCGCTGCTGATGCAATGCCCGAGGACGATCTCGGGGTGTCGGGCCTCGGCCCTCTGCTTCGAGTTGGCCAGTCCGAACGCCGAAGCCGTTACTTGCCTGCATCTTGGCGATGGGGACGTTGCTGTAAGAGAGATATAGAAGCGATCAGCGGCATCTCACGGCAAGCAGAGCAATGTTGGATTTCCGGGGCCTGGCGGGGCCAGAGAGCGCTCCGTCCATCCCACAACCTCGTAAGCACTCCCAACGGGAAGACGAGATGACGCCAGGCAGGAAAGGAAAGCGCGGTATGTCAGGCTAACCCCGGGTCGACAGACTCCACAGGGTGCCTCTTCCCCCACCCCGGTCCGTGGGCATCGTTCATCAGGCGTAAGGCGCAAGGCGTACTAGGCTCCCGCGGACACGCATAGCCGCCAGCAACCGACACAAGGGACGTACATACCACATCGTCGCAGCACCCGCAATACAATGCCGCAGGGCATGTGAAACCGTGACCATGACAAGCGGTAGGCACAGCGCAAGCGTGGGCCCGGCACCACGCCGGCCATTACGCGCTGGCGCAGTGGCGCGATCACGCGGGTCCACGCCCCGCCCCACCATACCCCATGGCAACCCCGGCATCTCGGGGTGCGGAGGTGCGCGGCAAGTTGCGGCTATGCGTTACGATCGTGGCGACAAAGCGCAAACTTCGGGTCTACACGTGCAGCGTGCTGATCTTGGCGAGGTTCAAATAGCAGCGCATTCGCGAGACCCGGCATCCCCACTTTCGGTCACCCGAGTCCGACTACTGACACCCAACATGACCGGCACACAAGACAAGGCCGACGCGTTCGCACACGAACCAAAGCCTGTTGCCTCGCACGAGGAGCATATCCCAGGCATGGCTGTCGACGGATACGAGAAGCGCGAGATCGAGGCCGCCGCATCAGAGTACGTCCCCGGCTCGGTCGAGGAGAAGCGCCTCGTCCGCAAGATCGACCTGCATCTTCTGCCCACACTCTGGGTGATGTACATCCTCAATTATGTGAGTTTGGAATGTTGAGTTTTGTCGAGCGGGGCGCATACAGAGTAGTTAAGTGGCGATGACCGCCACTGATCTGCCCTCGTGAGCCGTGTGGCAGGCACGTAGTCAGGTTTCCTGACAATACATCGTAGTTTCCCAACTGTCACCGCGAATTCTGGACCACTGGCTGACCGCAGCTTGACCGCACAAACATCGGTAACGCCAAAGTCGGCGCCGACCACGGCGGCTTCGAGCAGGACTGGAACCTCTCGTCAGCCGACTACTCGCTCGTGCTCTCCATCTTCTTCGTCGGTTACCTTCTCTGGGAAGTGCCGAGCAACATGATGCTCGCGCGCTCCAAGCCCTCCATCTTCCTTCCCACCATTATGTTCATCTGGGGCGCCATGTCCGTCGGAGCCAAGGGCATGACTGGTCTCGGTGGCATGGTTGCTTTCCGCTTCGTTCTCGGTGAGTCTAACACGCTTGATGATGTGATGGAGTGGAGCGGGGAATGTAGGATGCGTGATGGCGTTGGCGGTGCCACTCACGTCTGGGACACCCAAAAAAAAAAAAAAAAAAATCTTCCTTCTCAGCGATCTGCGCCGATCTCCTCAGAACCCCGCTGACATACAGGCCTTGTCGAGGCTGGCTTCTTCCCTGGTGTCATGCTCCTCATGTCTTGCTGGTACAAGCCTGAGGAGCTGTCGAAGCGCATTGCCATGTTCTACACCGCGTCCCTCGTGGCGGGCGCCTTCGGTGGCCTCCTGTCTTTCGGTATTATGGACGGCCTCGAGGGCAAGGGCAACACGCGCGGCTGGAAGTGGCTCTTCATCATCGAGGGTCTCATCACCGTCGTTGTTGCCTGCTTTGCCTTCTTCATCCTCCCCAACTACCCTCTCACCACCAAGTGGCTTTCCGACGACGAGAAGCGTCTCGCTACCGGCCGTCTCCTTGCCTCAGCGCGCGGCACCACCGAGGACGAGGAGGAGCACATCAGCCACTGGCAGGCCTTCAAGCTCGCGTGCAAGGATCCCAAGACTTGGGTGTTCGTGCTTATCTACAACCTCCTCAACATGGTCGGCACCATCTCCTACTTCTTCCCCACGCTCCTCGGCTCCATGGGCTACAAGGGCAACATGCGCCAGCTCATGACGGTCCCCATCTACGTGGTCGCCCTCATCATCTCGGTCACTCTCGGCTTCGTAGCGGACAAGACGCGCCAGAAGGCCTATGTCGTGGCCGGCGGCGCCACGCTCGCGACTGTGTCCTTCGTCCTTGTCGCAGCCGTTCCCAACGATAAGGTCAAGTACACGTTCCTCTGCTTCGGCGGCGGCGGCGTGTGGACGTGCGTCCCCGTCTTCCTCTCGTGGATGGTCACCATGTTCGACGGCCGTGAGAAGCGTGCCGTTTGCATCGCCCTCATCAACGGTTTCGGCAACACCGCCTCGATCTACGGATCGTTCTTCTGGCCTTCGCACACCAAGCCCAAGTACATTATGGGCTTCAGCCTTACGACGGCGTTCTCTGGCGTTGCTCTCATCGCCGTCCTCTGCGCAAAGTACTTCTTCGGCGATAAGGGCGTGGCGCGGACCTCGTAAATGATTAGCAGGCGAGGGGGGCAAAGAGCAGAACAGGTAGCAATTTTGTATAAATGGTATGGTATCTTTTGCAATCGCATGTTCGGGGAGGTTTTGGTGATCATTTCTTGCAGTGGGACATCAGCTTTGACTGTGAGAAGAGAAAGGAGAGAAAGGAGAGAAAGGAGGGAGGAAGAGCGGGTTTCGCGACGTTCATACCAGCATTTACGGACATTTACTGTCCTAATACATAGCGCGAAGTGCCCGGCTCCTCGCTCCAAGTGTCGCAGACACACATTAGCCTACGCCAAGACTGACACTGCAAATCATTACACGCCCACAACTTTCGCAACCGTAGTGACTTGGTTACACCACATTTCGAGTCACGGTCCTGCAAAGGCCCCAGTACATTCCAAGGCCAACAGCTCTCTAGTCCATGCAACGCACAACGTGTCGGTACAGATTCATAGCCAATTGGGTCTGCAAGTCCGTTGATTATGTATGAGAATATGATACACTACGCGAGCGCCTTGTCGATGGCCTCGGCATCTGCCCCCTCAATCCCCCGGTGTGCACGCCCGATCGGCGTCCACTCAGCCCACACGCTCTGAAGCTGTGACTTCTCCTCGTCGCTCAGCGCGCCGTACTCAGCCGCGCGAGCCAGCGCGCGGATGGCATTCTCCTCGTACTCAGCGTCCTCGGGGTCGATCCGTGGGTCGCGCGCCAACGCATCAACGGCTGCCTCGAACACGCCCTCGCGCTGCAGAGCGAGCAACAGCTCGTCGCCCTCGCTACCGGGCTTGGCACCGCTCGTCTTGGCCTGCTCCTCGATCAAGTTCCGCACCTCATTTGGCATCTCGCCATTGAAGGCATCGCGCGCCTGGTTGACGATTGTGCCGAGCATGAAGTTCATCTTGCGCCGAATCACGAGGTCAGTGTCGGCAACGCCTGCGCGCAGAACTGAGTACCCGCGGTTGTCTTGTGCGCTGAGGGCGACAGTAGCGAGGGGCCAGTGCTTGAGCGCAGCTGAGAGGGCGTAGACTGCCTTGGCACGCGTGCCAGAGGGTTTGCTCCCGGACGCAGGGTACAGCGCGTCGAGCACGAGTGGGAGGCCACCAAAAATGTAGAACTGGGGTCAGCTCAGTCCTTCACACTGCTCTTATTACTCACAGCTGCCTGCCCCTTGAGGTTGTTCTGGATGGCCGTGCCCGCGACCCAGAGAGCGTGGCGTGCGATGTCCTCGTTGGGGTCGTTGATGAGAGCGAGCAGCGGCTCCCAAAGCTTGAGGACCGCCATGTTGTTGGCGTTGTCGATGAGCTCGATGAGCATCTCAAAGTCGTCGAGGGCCATGACGCGCTCGTCAACATCGGCGGACGTGTTGCTTGCAATCGCCATCTTCTCCTTCATCGTAACGCTGTCGGGCTTGCCCATTATCAGGTCGAGAATCTCGGTCGAGAGCTTGTTGTCCTTCTTCGGCTCCTCGGCGGCAGGCGGCGCAAGGCCAACATCGTGTTGCGGGTCATCCGGGTGAAACGTGGCGAGGGTGCTCGCGTTCGGCTTCTGTCCCGGCGCCGCCGGCTTGAAGGTAAGCTGCATGCCTTCCGGGTTAGCGGGGGCGGCGGTGCCACTGCCGCTTCCGCTGCCGCTGACGCCCTGGGCGGCGGGCGTGTTTTCGATGGCCCAGTGGAGTAGAGTATTGAGGTCAGCCATTTTCTTGTCGAGAGGGGGAAAGAGAAGTCCGAGCAGTTGCTCGGTGGTGTCTAATTATGAAACCGAGCCGTCGTTGATGATTTCATCGATTGGCCTCCACCAAGTTCTCGAAGGCCCCTTTTGCACGTGATCTTGAATCCACGTGGTTCTGCTAATTAGTCATCATTTCACTCTAATCAGCGACGTCATTTGATAATGTTGAGCCGGGAGGGCAGATTCCGCTCCACATCCGCTCGCTGTGACTCGCTGCCCCGCGCGCCTCGGCTCACATAGTTGGCTGAACCAACACAGGTCCCCGACCATCCCTAGACGGCGACGCCAACATCAATCTTTCAATCTATCCACCCTGGTCGGCTACGAGCAGTCTCCCATTCCCCTCGTACCACTCCGCTCCGTCAACATGCCCGACCCACCACCGCCGGACCCCGATGGCCGCCGTCCAGTGGAGGACTGGACAGATGGCGCGACTGACCAGGCCATCGCTATCGCGATTGAGCACCGCGACCGCGAGAATCCCCCCGGGCAGGGCGACTCCATCAGCGGCAGTCTGATTCAGATGGATGGAGGTGTGTTATTGTGTGATGCGCGTGGCGCACATCCTGTGGCCAAAATTCCGGATCCGCTCTGACTCACCCAGGCATCACACCCTCGTCGGTGACTCGAACCAAGTGGTACGGGCCCGGCGGATCAAGACGCAACTCGGTCGCGTCGTTCCGCTCGAGCTCGGGGCTGTGGCGCCAGCGTTCGAGCACCGACATGAACCGCTGGCGCGACGTACCGCATTCGCCAGCAGCGAGCGGCGTCTTCATCGCCGACTCGGAGGATGAAGGCGAGTACGCCGCTGGCACGCGTTACGGGCGCGCGCGACGCGCCTCATCCCAGATCCGACAGCATCGGAGGCAGCGTGACAGTAGCGTAGACTATTTCAGCAGCCGTGATTACACGCAGCGAGACGACTATGGACGACGCGAGGACGCGGAGGAACCCAGCCCGCCTGCGTCTCCGACCGTACTGCAGCGCGTCACCAGTTTCCTCGGCGGGCGGCGGCGAACCGATGATGAGGAGGCGGGCTTCGTCAACCGCCGCGTCAGCGTCGATTCGGTCGGCTCGAACGTTTCCATCCGCTCGCGCGCCATGCGCTCCGAGTCGCCAGTCTCATCACTTGACAGCTGGGGCTATGGCGGCGAGGATGACGATGAGCTCAACGAGGGCTATTCTAGCAGCTTGGCCGACGACACCTCACTTCCGCCTCAGTCGCGGCCCGGCAGCCCGCACCTCCCACTCGTCCCCGTGCCCGGCGACGACATCTTCGGCCAGTCAACCATGCACTTCGACGAGGAGCCCAAAGAGTTTGATGAGTCGACGGTTCCATCACGGCAGACGATCCTACTTCCTGACGAAGATCTATCCATCCGCTTCACTTGCTACCGCACGGACGCGTTCCGCAACGTTCTGTGGTGGATCGGCTGCATCTGCACGCTCGGTGCGCTTGGCCTCATCGGGCGCTGGATCCCCCGTATGTGGGTCCGCTTCACAGGACGCGAGACTTCTTTTGAGGACGCAAAGGAGGGCGCGTGGCTTGTTGTCGAGACCCCATACGGTGACCTGCACATCGTAGATCTCCAGGTTATCTCTTACCCACACCCTCTCTCTACCGTCTTCCCGGAGTTGGTGAGCGTGCCGCCCTCTGTACTGGAGTCGCGAGCCGCATCTCGTGCTGGCAGCCATGTTGACCCGCCGCTACCCATTACTGGTGATGTGGAGCTTGGCAAGACGACATGGGAGGAGAAGACCGGCCATCTCAAGGTAATGGAGTACCGCTACACCCGCTTTGCCCTCAACCCTGTCACTGGCGCGTGGTGCATGATCCGTGATTGGCGCGACCCCAAGTGGACGTCGGCGCGTGCCGTCGCGAACGGTCTCAACACGAGCACGCGTGATCAGCGCCGCACGCTCATGGGCGAGAACAACATCGACATTGCCGGCAAGTCGATCACGAGCCTGCTCATGGATGAGGTCCTGCACCCGTTCTACGTCTTTCAAATCGCCTCCATTGTACTCTGGTCTATCGACGACTACTACTACTATGCCTTCGCGATCGCGCTCATCAGTGTTACGAGTATTCTCTCGACGCTCTTCGAGACCAAGCGGACCATCGAGCGCATGCGCGAAATGTCTCGCTTCCACTGCCCTGTCAACGTGCTTATCGACGGAGAGTGGCAGATCGTCGACTGCGAAAACATGGTACCTGGTGACATCTTTGACGCCTCGGACCCGGAGCTCACCGTGTTCCCATGTGACGCGCTCCTGCTCTCGGGCGATGCCATCGTCAACGAGTCGATGCTCACTGGAGAGTCGGTTCCAGTCAGCAAGGTGCCCGTCAAAGACGACGCGCTGCGCGCCATGTCACATGAGCACAAGGACGGCAGCTCCGACATCGATCCAGAGCTCGCCAAGCACTACCTCTTCAGCGGCACGAAGATTATCCGTGTCCGTGCGGGTGCACGTCCCGTCTGGGCCCCGCCCAGCGAGGAGCCCATCGCGCTCGCCATGGTTACTCGCACCGGCTTCGACACGACTAAGGGCGCGCTTGTGCGCTCGATGCTCTTCCCGAAGCCGCTGGGCTTCAAGTTCTACCGCGACTCGATGAACTTCATCGGCGTCCTCGCCATGATTGCCGGGGCCGGCTTCGCCGTCAGCGCGATCGGCTTCATTGAGATGGGCATTGCCTGGCACACGATCATCGTGCGCGCCCTGGACCTGATCACCATCGTGGTGCCACCCGCGCTGCCGGCCACGCTTACCATCGGAACGACATTTGCTATCGAGCGGCTGCGCAAGTCGGGCATCTTCTGCATCTCGCCCAACCGCGTCAACATCGGTGGCAAGGTCAACGTTGTCTGCTTTGACAAGACGGGTACTCTCACGGAAGAGGGCCTCGATGTCTTGGGTGTGCGTACAGTCGACCGCCTCGAGGGACGATTCTCGGAGCTGCACGCCGACGTCGAGGACGTGCCGACGCAGGGTGGATCTAACGGTCGCACTCCTCTGCTTTATGCGCTTGCATCTTGTCACGCGCTCAAGCTCATCGACGGCGAGGTGCTGGGCGACCCTCTGGATATCAAGATGTTCGAGTACACGGGTTGGTCGCTGGACGAGGGTCAGTCTCGCACGGTCAAGGGCAGCGGCGGCGGAGCCGAGCGCACGCAGACCCTTGTCCAGATGGTGGTGCGGCCGCCAGGCTCGGAGCAGTGGCGTATGGAGGACGCCCACAGCAACGGGCGTAACCTGGAACTTGGTGTTATCCGGTCGTTCGACTTCGTTTCTGCACTGCGCCGCATGACGGTCATTGTCAAGCGGCTTAAGAGCACGTCGATGGAGATCTACTGCAAGGGTGCCCCTGAGGTCATGCCGGATATCTGCGACCCTTCCTCATTCCCTAACGATTACGAGGACATGCTTAGCTACTACACGCGTAACGGCTACCGTGTAATCGCAATTGCGGGCAAGAGCGTCGAGGGACTGACATGGCTCAAGGCGCAACGCATGCGCCGCGAAGTGGCCGAGCACGACCTGCAGTTCCTCGGCTTCATCGTTTTCGAGAACAAGCTTAAGCCGGGCACGGCGCCAAACATCCACACGCTCCGTGCCGCCCACATCGCGTGCCGTATGGTGACGGGTGACAATGTGCGCACGGCGATCAGTGTAGCGCGTGAGTGCGGTCTCATCTCGCACTCGGCCAGCGTATATATTCCCACCTTTGTGCCCGGCACAGGGATGGGCGAGGAAGCGATGCTGGACTGGACCTCGGTCGACGATGAACGGCACCGCTTGGACGAGTACACGCTCAAGCCGCTGGCGGACGAAAACGAGAACCTCGACGATGACGACCTACCGGACTACCAGCTTGCGCTGACGGGCGACGTATTCAAGTGGATGCTCGAGTGGGCGCCGCTGGAGACCATGAACCGCATGCTCGTCAAGGGGGTAATCTTCGCGCGCATGAGCCCTGACGAGAAGGCCGAGCTCGTCGAGCGCCTCCAGGGACTGGGGTACACGGTGACGTTCTGCGGTGACGGCGCCAACGACTGCGGTGCATTAAAGGCCGCCGACGTCGGCGTGTCGCTCAGCGAGGCCGAGGCGTCTGTCGCCGCTCCCTTCACAAGCAGGACGCCGGACATTTCGTGCGTCGTCGAGATCATCCGCGAGGGCCGGTGCGCGCTCGTCACCTCCTTCTCCTGCTTCAAGTACATGGCCCTCTACTCCCTGATCCAGTTCACGACCGTGACGCTGCTGTACAGCTTTGCGTCGTCGCTTGGTGACTTCCAGTTCCTGTACATCGATCTGTTCATCATCATCCCGATCGCCGTGGCCATGGGCCGCACGCTGCCGTATCCCAAGATACATCCGAAGCGGCCGACAGCGTCGCTCGTGAGCAAGAAGGTGCTCACGAGCATTATCGGGCAGACGGTGATCAATGCGGGCATCCAGGGCCTCGTGTTTCTGTGGGTCCGCCGGCAGCCGTTCTACGAGAAGCCCGTCGTTGACAGCGACGAACTCGAGACCTTTAACTACGAGAATACCAGTCTGTTCCTCGTCTCCTGTTTCCAGTACATTCTGGTCGCGGGCGTCTTCTCCGTCGGCCCGCCCTACCGCCTGCCCATGTACTCCAACCCGATCCTCATGGCCTTCTTTGTCGCGCTGACCGGCTTCTCGACGTATGCGCTCCTGGCACCAGACAAGGTCGTTGCCCGCATTCTCGACATCATCGGCTTGCCCACATACTACAAGGTACAGCTGCTCGCCGTGGCAGTCGTCAATATCGCGCTGTGCTTCGGGTTCGAGCGGTACGCCGAGCGGCCCATTGCGCGCTCCATCGCACTTGTCAAGCGTTGGAACCGCCGCAGGCTGGGACGCAAAAATCACCCCGACAACCACTACAAGGCGATCGAGGGGAGCATGCGGTAATGTAGCATCAGTGTATGACATCTTGAATCTGTTTGAATGCAGGTTATCACAGCACATATAAGAGAGATATGTTGCAGATTGGATGGAGCTACGGCTAAGTCCGCTGGGAGGCCGGCCGCGTTGAGTCCCCATACGTTAGATACTTGGAGGGTCCCATCCAGTCGCTGCGGGGTAGCTCTGGCTCGGGGTCCGAGACGTTCGACGGAGACAGCGCAGGCAGCTTGCGGAGATGGATCGGAGAAAGGAGGCGGTCCGGCTCGTCTGTCGTCTGAAGCGGCGCCGCCCAGTCGAGGCCATAGCGGGCAAAGTCGTGGCCCAGAGGCACCGCCGAGCTGAGCAATGACGACCAGTCCAAATCGACGGTCGATGGGCTAGCCCAGGGCTGGGCATGTTGCACGAGGTGCGTGCTGGGATGCGACATCTGCGGCTCGTCGACAGTTATGTTAGACCGGCATAGTGGCACATTCGGGCAACTCACAGGCTGCAATTTCGTCATTCATCTGGACGTTGGCTGCAAAGGAACACAGATCCCACTGTCCGTCGTAGGCGTCCTGCTGAGTGACGTTTGACTGTGGGCGCGGGGAAACGATTGCATCTCCTCCACCGTGCATGCCGCTGGCCTCAGTGACGACAGGGGACTTATTGGAGTCCGAGCACAGAGAGTTGGGGGGCGTGGGCTCCAGGTTTGATTTCGCACAGCTCAAACTCTTATCTGACATTGTTCCGCCACTGACGAGACATTTAGCGTCGGGGTGCCTTCGAACTGTGTTGAGATCGAGCAATGGGCTTGGCGTGAGGTGCAATGAGGCAAAACGACGCCTTTTGTAACAACGACTAGGCTCGGATGAGGCGCGCGTCGTCGCGGAGATGTCCTTGGGCACAATTTTATCTGGGTTCAGCCAGGTGACATAAGCCTTACTCACTGAACTCGTCTGATACGATCGGCGAGTAGGGGTCGATGTCCTCCGCTCCCTCGTAGGCATTCCAAGATGCCGTCCCATCTAGTTTCTCCACGTCCTCATCGGCCGAGATAGATGTTGGCATCGCAACGAGCTTGGACTTGTCGTTGAGGGTCACGTCAAACTGTCCTTTGGCCCGCATGGGAAGGATTGGGGGAGCCACCCTGCATGAGTGCCATTTGGCCTGTTGTTAGCCGCTGGTTGCAGGTCAACAGATGAACCCACAACGTTCTTGTCAAGCTCGTCCCATCGTGCCCACACTCTGTCAAGGGGATTAGCTGGCACAGGCTGAGCCACGCTGTGGAGCAGATCCTTGACGGCGGGCCCGAGGTCGCCCAACTTCAAAGCTGCGTTACTAATGTCAACTGTTGCACCATCGGCAGCTCACATCCCGTCGAGCGAACTAGCAGGCTCCGTGGTAACCAGGGGCACCGGGAGCGTCCCGCCCATGTAATGTTGCGAGGTAGGTAAGAAGAGCTCCTTGATGCTGCTAGGCGGCGTGAGGCGCTCCTTGAGCTTTTGCAGCTCGCGCATGCTTCGTGCCGTCATCAGCCCAAGCTCGACCTTGCGATAATCCCATGGAGGCTCTGAAGCATGTCAGCCATGTCAGCGGCGGTGCGCACTAGGAACGCTTCCGAGTCGCTCGGGGAAGGGGATGCACTCAGCGCGCCTGCTCTCAGCCAGCGCTGCTTTAAGCATCGCCTGCGACTCGGGCGTGGTCGTGAGACTAGTCAAGAAGAAGTCGTGATCCACTTTTCTCGCCTCCTCCCTCAAAAGGCAGGCTGGCTCCTTATCCATTGGCCCAGAAGTGGTGGGATACGTTGCAAGGTCGAGCGGTTCAAGGAGGGCGAGCGGCGCGGTTGCGATAGGGTAGTACGCGTCGAGGCCCAGCTCGTCGGCGGTGGGCCTGATACTCCCTTCGTATACGCGGTGGTGTGCACCCGGGGGCGTTTTGCCCCGGTAAGGCGGCATGAATCTATGTGCCATGAGGATGTCCAAGGAGAAAGTGAAAGAGCATGAAAGAGTGAGTGAGAAATGATGAAGGTTGGTCGAGTCATCCGAGGAAGGTGCATCACTTCATTCTCCCCCTATCCCCGTGTCGAGAAGAATCCTTTCCCTCCCTCGCTTTCGTAACCAGTCGAGCGCCTCCGAGATCTTCTCCAACTCGACCCAGTCTCCCCTCCCCTTGCCACCGCGCGCGCCGTCCTGGGCTCCTCGCCCCGACACCTCTTCACCAGCGACCGGCTCAATGCCGAGCCTCACGCGCAGCGCCAGCCAGTTCCAGCTCTTGACTTCGCGTGTCCACTCCTCCAGGTCCTCTTTCTCTCCGATGGCGTAGTATATCCCGGGGTGGCCGACCTTGGAGAACCCTGTCAACGAGAGCTGGGACGCGAGGGAGAGGAGATTCTTGCGCTTGGTGCTGGAAAGGAGGTGGTGCGACGTGAGGAGGGTGTGATGGGGTATTGGAGGCTTTTTGGGCTCTAGAGCCACAGCATCTGGAGGACCAGGTGTTGCTTCTGGGGCGAGGAGCGGGAGGAGATGGCCGGTGAGGAGCTGGTACAAAGGATACCTGGCGTGAGCTGGCTTCGATAACCACCTCACTCCTCCCCATCCACCCAGTTTGCGTTCTGTTGTTCTGCGATCTTGGAATTGTGGTATCGTGCCACATCCCTCCCAATGTCGTTCCCCTTGAGCTCGATTGTCACCGCGCTCTGCGAAGGATAGTCTTCTCGTACTTCAATGTGTAGCGTTCGCTGGCTATCGTTGTTAACGATGGAGATAATACGCGGGAAGCCGGGGTCATCCGTCAAGTCCTCTGAGGGAAGAAGCGACGAGGCTATGAGCTCGAGCTCTACGTCGAGGTCGCAGCTCATGGTGCAGTGCTTTAACTGGAGGTGAGGACTCACAGTGATCGATCTTCTCTCCAGAGGCCAGAGGACCGCCTCCACCAGAACACTGGTGGAGGCACGGAGATCTCCCAATCTCCGGCCTCCACTCTCAACATTTTGATTTCAGCGGATCGATCTACTGTCCTTCATCAACACCATGGCCCCACGCCCGAGCAAGCGCACGAAGAACGAGCGCGCTCCGTCTCCGCCTCGAGCGGGACCACTGCCACAAAGCAGGCTGTTTGCGCCCTTCCGCGCGCTCGGCTATGTCTCCGACCATGTCCCGTTCTCTATGTTCGTCCACACGACCAAAGGCGCCCTCGCCAAGCCTACAGTGCACCTTGTGACCAGCGTCGGTCGCAGCTGGCTGCAATGGGACGCGGAGCGCATGCGTCTTCTGTTCGCAGGTGAGCTACAACTTAAGGCGAGGCTGATGGCAGGCTCTGACGCCGGTGCGCCGATCGCCGGCCTCGCGCAGACCGGTACTGAGATATTTGCGTCGGCAGGCGCGCGTGTAATCAAGTACTTCCGCGGCAAGGAGGTGGCCGAGTATCTCGCTCCTAACGGAGAGGCTTTGGGCCAAATTATCCTCTTCGGCGAGCAGATCCTCGCCCTCAAGGCCGATGGGTCTGGCCTGCTCATTTGGAACGTTGCGAGCACGGAGCTGGACAACGAGATCACCTTCCACTCTAGCTTCACGGCTACGACTATGATGCACCCCGCAACGTATCTCAACAAGGTTATCGTGGGAAGCCAGCAGGGCGAGCTGCAACTGTGGAACATCCGCACTGGGTGAGTTGTGTCTAGAAGATGGCTGACATCAGTTCGCTCATTCACACCTTCGCGGCGCCAACCTCCGCCTCGCCCGTCACCACGATTGTGCAGGCGCCAGCCCTGGACATTGTCGGCGTTGGGCACTCGGATGGTGACATCCGTGTGCTGGACATCAAGCACGGCGACCTCGTGATGCAGATGCGCATGGACGAGGGGTCTGTAACGGGGCTGGCATTCCGCATGGGTGAGCAGGCGGGTTGAGGTCATCACTGACGCCAGACGGACCACCAATTCTTGCCTCGGCATCATCGGTGGGCGCTATCGCGATTTGGGACCTTAGCAAGGGAGGGCGAGTGCTGCACACGCGCCGAAGGTCGCATGAGCAGGCGGTCAACGGGTTGGAGTGGGTGCAGGGTCAGCCATTGCTGGTGTCATCGAGCGCGGACAACAGCGTCAAGGTGAGCATATGTGTCGACGGAAGTTGACAGAAGCAATGGGCGTTTGACTCTCCAACAGCGGAGCCACGGCTGCTTAAACTGCGTTCAGGACACAACGCACCGCCGTCGTGTATCCGCTACTACGGAGAGGACGGGAAGCAGATTTTGACGGCGGGTCGCGACAGGGCGCTGCGGTACACTTCGGTGGTCCGAGACTCGCGAAGCTACGAGCTCTCGCAGGGCTCGCTGATCAAGAAGGCCATCGGGTTGGGTGTGAGCGTCGACAACCTCAAGTTCCCGCCGATCACGGCCATGTCGAGCTCGTCAATCCGATCTAGAGACTGGGAGGATGTGTTGACGGCCCACGCCGAGGACGCGAGCGCCCGGACATGGCGGGTGGCTGAGAAGCGGTTGGGGCAGTGGGAGTTTGGCGTGGATGAGGGCGACGTGCAGGCCGTTTGTGTGACAGCCTGCGGCAACTTTGGCTTGGCGGGTTCGTCAACGGGCGAGATCCGCATGTGGAACATGCAGAGTGGCAAGGAACGGAAGAGCTTTGCGCTTTCTGGCCCACCTCCAGGCGACAGCAAGCCCAAGGTGATGCAGAAGAAGAAGAAGAAGAAGGAAAGCAAAAAGACCATCGAAGCGATCACCGGACTGGCGACAGACGCGCTCAACACGACAGTCGTCGCGAGCACGCTCGAGGGCAAGCTGTACTTCTTTGACTTCCACACCACTGCGCGTACCGAGGTGATGGAGCTCGACAGCAGCATCACGGCACTTGAGCTGCAGCGCGACAGCGGGCTTCTGGCCTGTGTGTGCGACGACCTCGTCGTCCGACTGGTGGACATTGAAACGCGCCGTGTGGTGCGTGAGCTGCGCGGGTTCAAGGGCCGTATTCTGGACGTGGCATTCACGCCTGACTCGCGCTGGATCCTTGCCACCTCGCTCGACTCGAGCGTGCGGACATTCGACATCCCCACCGGCCGACTGGTAGACGCGTTCCGCGTTCCGTCCATCGCCACGAGCCTCACCTTCTCGCCCACGGGCGACTTCCTCGCAACGTCGCACGTCGACAGCCTCGGTGTGCACCTGTGGGCGAACAAAGCGCAGTTCAGCGACATTGCCCTCCGCCACATCCCCGAAGACGAGGATGTACCCGAGATCGCCCTTCCCAGCGTGCAGGGCGTCGACGACGCCGCTCTGGCGGGTCTCGAGGCTGTTGGCGCACCAGAGTACACGGACGTGTACACGACGCCAGACCAGCTCGCGGACGGGCTGCTCACGCTCTCGCTCCTCCCCCGCTCGCGCTGGACGACGCTGCTGAACCTCGAGACGATCAAGGCGCGCAACAAGCCCAAGGAGCCGCCTAAGGCGCCCGAGGCCGCCCCCTTCTTCCTGCCCACCGTGTCGGGTCTCGAGCCCAAATTCGACTTGCCGGCCAAGCAGGTGGAGGAGGCGAGTGCACGCTTCGCGCCTGCTGCCACGTTCTTGGAGAGCGAGTTCACGCGCCGCCTCGCGCGTGAAGATGAGGACGGCGACTACACCGCCTTTTTCGAGTATATGAAGGCGCTGTCGCCGAGCGCGGTCGACCTCGAAATCCGCTCGCTCGTCTCACTCGACCACCTCGGTGCATTCATGGCGGCTCTCCTTGGCCGTTTGAGGAGCCACCGCGACTTTGAGGCTGTGCAGGCCTTCTTGGCTGTGTTCCTCAACGTCCATGGCGATGTGTTGATCGCTAACGCTGAGCTCCGCGGGACGCTGGAGCGCCTCGACGCGGCCCAAAAGAAGGAGGGCGCGCGCTTGGCCGAGCTCCTCTCATACTCGCTCGGAACACTGTCGTTCCTCCGCTCGTAACATGTATCTGATAGAGTATAGCATGGATTAGCTTAACCGGCGTTTGTTCTTCGGGCTCAGAGAAAAGCCTCACGCACACAATAGTACACGATACATGGATACAGTCTCGCACTCATACCCCACCACGTCTCGCTCTGCGTAAAGATGCCTATGACTCGTCCTTGTAGTTGGCCATTGGGTCGTCGAAGGCCTGCCGGCTGAGACGGTACGCCTCGAGCTCCTCCTTCGTAACGTCCTGCTTGGCCTTCTTGCTCGCTTCCCACGCCTCCTCCTCGCCAAGAGCCTTGCGCTTCTTCTCGAGCTGGATCGCAGTCTTGAGCCGCGCTTTGTCAAGCGCAATCGCCTCCGGGTCGTCATCGTAGCTCGCAAACTCGCCCTTCTCCTTGCCCTTGCCCTTATCCGAGCTAACGACCTCGCCCTTGGCCATCCGTTCGCGGTGCAGCTCGACAAGACTCTTGACGGGCGCCTCCTCTTCCTCCTCCGCTCCGCCTTGCGCGTTCAACAGGGCTTGTGCCGACGACGCCTCGTTCGCCAGCTTGCCTGCCTCGCCGGTGCAGTACGAGCCCGAGATGAGCGAGTGGCAACATGCGTAACCCCAGGCGCCCGATTCGCGGTCGAACCACGAGCCCCATACGGAGGTGTGGTTGTTGGTGTACACGTCCTCTTGGTACTTGGAGCGAGCCTTTGCCTTCTCCATACCCTTAACCACCTCACCAGTGCGCGAGTACTCGACGTCTGCTAGTCAGCCCGATCTCATGCCTCGCGGCCTCATTCAACTTACAATGCTCCGTCTGACCACCCAACAGCTCTGCTGGCATGCGCTCGAGATGCTCTTCGCCGCCGTACTTCTCAAGGATGCTCTGCTTGGTCGTGTCCTTGAGAACGTTGCGCTTCTCGTTGAACTCGCGGTGCAGCAACTCGCCGGCCGTCGGGTTCGAGTGCATGTTGACGTTGTGTCCGCGCTGCGCGCTCTGCCACGCAAACAGCTGCAGACGCTGCATGTTGGTCGCGTCGCCCGAGTAGCGGTCAAAGTTGTCGCCCGCGAAGCGCATGTCTTCTGGCTTCTTGCCGACCTCTGGTGCGTCGCGCATTGCGCGCGTCTTCGGATCGTAGTGCGCACTCTCGGGATCGAGGTTGAGGAGATACTTTGCTGTGTCCTCACGGATACGCAGGTTGCGCACCGTCATACGAGTCTTCGTGTCGAACTTTTGCCCGACCTGGTCCGCCTGCTCGGCATACGCCGCTTCGGGAACGTCCTCATCGTCGTCATCGTCACTTCCGAATTCGTCGTCGTCTGCCTTCTTCTCTTTCTTCTTTTCCTCCACCTTGGCAGCCGCGAGCTCCGCCTCACGCACCGCTCGCCGCGCCTCCTCCTCCGCCTCGTACTCCTCTACGACCGCCTTGTACGAGCTCGGATCGTACCCATTCCAGCGGTCGCGCTTGGCGTCGAAGTCTCGCGGTACGGCCTGTACCACCTCGTCCGCGGCAATGTTCTTGCCTGTGAACTTTGCGCCGCGCTTGCGCGGGCGTTCGACACAATCTTTCCGCTTGTGCGTCATCGCGCCGCAGTTCTCGCAAGCCCCCTTCCGATACTTTGACGCTACGGGACCCGCGCTCCCGCGGTCGTACCACTGGTTGATGGTCGATTTCAACGACGTGTCCTTACGCTGATGCGCCATGTTGGGCGCCGCGCCGCTACCCGTGTCCGCCCACCATGGCGCCTTGGCGATAAAGTCTGGCACATGCGGGTTCACAACCTCTTCCTCAACGTCCTTGCCGGTGAGCTCTGCGAGCTGCTTCTTGGCGCGGTACGCCGACGTCGCGATGCGGTCCGAGGTCTCTGATTGTTAGAAGGGTCAATTTGAAGCACTTACCGGCCGGGAGGCGCTGCATGGTGGGCTAGTTGTGCTGGGATGTGTAAGGTTGGTAGAAGATCGCTGCCTGGAGTAACATCTTGTGTGCCGACAGTTGCCACTCAAATCACCACGTGGTCGGTGGGATTAAACCAGATATATATTGATAGATAATCATTCCTCTCCGACTGAACCGCTTCACACAGTCAAGTTGGTTCTTTGTGACTCTTCTCTTGGTGGCGACCTCTCATCATCCCCCATCCCCCGCGCCATCCATCCATTCTCACGATCACAAACACAGCTCTCAGCATCACGACAGCTCGCTAACTATCTCCACTACCCTCAAAACACCTCTAACCATGTGGAGGCCTGCTCGCACCACGGGGTCCAACGACGTAAGTAGACCGCTGACTCACGAAAGTGAACTCATCTCACACCCAGACCCCGCTTGCCAACAAGCGTCGCTTCGGTCTTCCTGAGGAGGCCCCTGCTCCAGCCCCTCCAGGCGCCGGTGGCTATGGCGCCAAGCCGCCAGGAGACATGCAGTTCTTTAACGGACGTATTGACCGTGACCGGGAGCGCGAGCGTCGCGACGCGCCCCCCCCTCCCCGCGATGACCACCGCCCCTATGACCGAGACCAGCGCGACCGTGGCGGTGAAAGGCACGGCTATGGTGACCGCCGCGATGACAGGGACCGGTTCGACCGCCGTGACGAGCGCGATGATCGCCGCGGTGACCGTCGAAGCCGCTGGGACGACCAAGACCGTGGGCGTGGGCGTGACGCTGACCCCCGTGAAGGTAAGAGACCACCTTCTCTCAGCACTAACAATGTAGAGGGACCCCGCAAGCGCCGCTCGCGCTGGGGTGACGCTAGTGAGCGTGTCGACGTCTCGGGCCTGCCCGTCAACATTCAGGGCAAGGTGTCGGCGTCCGAGCTCGACAACTACGCCATTCACGTCCGTCTCGAGGAGATTGCGCGCAAGCTGCGCACTAACGATGTCGTGCCGCCCGACGGACAGCGTTCGCCCTCGCCCCCACCCAAGTTTGACGCGTACGGTAAGCGCACCAACACCCGCGAGGTGAGGTACAAGGAGAAGCTTGAGGAGGAGCGTCGCCGCCTGATCGACCGCGCGATGAAGAACGACCCGAACTACCGCCCACCGGCCGACTTCCAGAACAGACGTAATGGCCGCCCGATGGAGAAGGTGTACATTCCCGTTGACGAATTCCCGGAGATCAACTTCTTCGGCCTTCTCGTCGGACCCCGTGGCAACTCGCTGAAGCGCATGGAGCGCGAGACGGGCGCCAAGATCTCTATTCGTGGCAAGGGTAGTGTCAAGAAGGGCAAGGACCGCCCAGAGGCGTACGCCAACGACGAGGAGGACGAGCTGCACTGTGTCGTCACTGCCGATGATGAGATGAAGGTCAAGGCGTGTGTAATGCTCATCAACAAGGTTATTGAGACTGCCGCCTCTACGCCTGAAGGCCAGAATGACCACAAGCGTAACCAGCTTCGTGAGCTCGCCTCGCTTAACGGTACTCTGCGTGACGACGAGAACCAGCTTTGCCAGAACTGTGGTGAGAAGGGTCACCGTCGCTGGGAGTGCCCTCAGCAGCGCGTGTACAGCGCCAACGTCATCTGTCGCCTCTGTGGTGGTGCGGGCCACATGGCGCGCGACTGCCGTGGCCGTGGCGACCCGAGCCTTGCGACCAACCGTCCCCAGGGCGACACACAGTTCGACTCGGAGTACACGGCGCTTATGCAGGAGCTCGGCGAAGCCGGTGCGGCTGCCCCCGCGCCTGGCGCTACTGCGGAACAGCGCATCCCGCCCTGGCGCATCCCTGAGAACTGGCACGGCGGTGGTCGCAATAGAGAGCGCGAACAGGGTTACGGCGCCGGTGACCAGTACGGTGGCGGCGGCTACGGCGACCAGGGCTACGGCGGTGGCGGTGGCGCGGGCTACGGCGGCGCTGGCGGTGCTGGCGGCTACGGTGCCGGCTATGGCGCCGACCAGGGCTATGGCGGCGCTGCCGGTGGCTATGGCGGTGGTGCGGGCGGCTACCAGCAGTGAGTACTTTGAGTGATGCGGAACGCGGGCTAACATCAGATACTACGCCGGCATGGCCGGGTAATGGCTTGACGGTCTGATTTCTCTTCACGTCCCAACGTTAACCAGTATCTTATATATCATGCGCGCGGCTGACTCGTGTGCGCGTGCTGACGCGTGCCATTGAGGAGGAGAAAACGCGAAACCCAACATATGGCTGATGTATCATGACTGTCTGACGGCGCGGTTGCGCCAGACTGGGCGCCGTTTTGGCGCCCGACTGCGGACTGCTTAGGTGTCGCTGTGATCGGTGGTGGATCATGGCGGCGACACAAGTCTTCAAGCACACCTTGTCGAATGAGGCCAACCATTCTTGACGAAGTGCGCGATGCGCGCAATGTTGTTGTTGCCACTCCCCTTGTTGTCATGAGCAGAGTCTACTGCAATGCATTCTGCTGTTCCCTATGTAGTTACCAAACTTCATCGACCTTGCTGCGCGAGATGCAGAATCCCTGCCGTCAGCGCGTCCGACTTTGTAACATACCGGCGTCACCCACTCCTTGCAGCCACACTGCACGCCTGCCCAGTCGTAGCTCCCGATCTTGGCGCCGCACTTGGGGTTGGGACACACGAGCTTGCCCGCGACGTCGCCGTTCGCGAGCACAGGCTCCATCCACGTGAGCGGCTCGACGAAGTATCCCGAGCACTTGGGGTTAACGAGGATGGGGGGCCCGCCCGTGATCCCGCCTGCGGCGGGATGCGGCGCCGCCGGCGTGAACTGGAGGGTGGAGGAGGCGCGGCGGCGCGGCTCCGCGGGCGATGGCGGATTCGTATTGGGCGGCGACGACGCGGCGCTCCCACTCCCGCTGGCCGCACGTAGCGCGGCCAACTGCGGCGGGAGGCGGGCGGTGAGCTGGTCCGCGTCGAGGATGCGGCGCGCGGGCTTGTCGTCGTCCGCGCCCATCGAGTTTGCGCGGGTCATGCTGAGCCCGTCGGGCCCGAGGCCGAGGAGGGAGCGGGAGCGCGCGCGCCCGCCCTCGGACGCGAGGGACGCGCGCCGCGACAGGCTCGCCGGCAAGCCCGTGAGGGGGTTGATGATGTCGCTTGCGATGGAGGGGCGGCGGGGGTGCGGCGGCGCCGCGGGGGCGTCGTCGTCGTCGACCGCGATGGCGTTGTCGTCTGTGCTCAGCCCCGCTAAGGGGGCGGGCAGCGCGAAGTTGCTCGGCGTGCGCGGGCGCGAGGGCGGCGCAGGAGACTGGTCGAGGATGTGGTCCATCATGTGCTCGCGCAGCGCGAGGTGTTGCCGGCACATCTTGCAGCGGATCTTGCGGCGGTGGCCCCCCGCCGGGGTCGCGGGCTGGCTCGGCGTCGGCGTCGCGGGGTACTTTGCCATGTGTTCGGTCGAGGGCGCGCCGCCTTCGTCTGGGCGTGAGCGGACTGGGCGGGGCACGGGGGGGCGGAGGGTGTGCGGCGCGCGGGACATCATTGTGAGAGGGGGAGAGGGTGAGAGGGGGTGGGTGGCGAAGTGGATGGAGAATTTGGTGTGGTGAACATCAGAAGTGGAGGTCGGTGCGGTGGTGGAAACCTGGCCCGGCGTACCGGCATCACTCTCATGTCTGCCTTCGACCATCTGATCTGCCAGATACAGAGACCAACGTCGATGCCACCCACGCCATACAATGCACTCACTCATAACATATCCTGTAGTACGTTCGAGATAGAACTGGCGCGTGCTGCGGTCCTTGAGCGTAACCCGTCCATCGGCGAGGTAATACAATCCGAGCTGGTGCCAGAACGTGTCTGAGGGATCCACGACGGGCCGCTTCTCGCGGAGGAACGACACAGCCTCGACGGGATCCAAGCGGCGGTGGCGCATGAGGTACGCGGCGACGACGGTGGCGGAGCGGCTCATCCCCGCTTGGCAATGGACGAGGACTGCGCCAGCTTTGGTCTGGGGCGCGGCAGCGCTCTGGAGCTCTGGCGCACGCTCGTCGATCGCGGCGTCGCCGTCGCGCCGCGCAAGCGCCTCCGCAATCCACGCGACGGCGGCGGGGAGGACCGTGAGGATGTCTGTATCGGGCGCGTCGTCGATCTCGATGGCGTACGCGGCAAAGTCGGGCGCGAAGTCGAGCCGCGGGCGAAGGAGGGACACGACGTTTGTCTGGAGTCAGCGCCGGAGCCCGGCCGGGGGACTCGCGGAGGGGAGGAGGAGAGGGGGGGAGGGGACTCACAATGCCGCGCTCACGCATCCCCTCGGCGTCCATTGCCGCCACGAGGTCGCCGATCCACAGCCCGTCCACCACCTCGTTGAGGTGTTCGATCTCGCTCTCGTCCTCGTCGCCCTGCGCAGCGAAGTACGCCGCCTCCTCCGGGTCGTCCCACCATCCCTGCCGCCGCTGGCTCTGCGCCGTCCCCGGGCCGTCTTCGGCGGCCGCGAGTGCGGCGAGGCGGCGCGCGGCGCCGTCCAGCGTCCCCGTCTCCTGTACTTGGGCGAACACGTCGTCGATCGCGTCTTCGTCCGGCTTGAGTGCGTCCGCGGGGGCGTCGTCTTTCGCGGACGGGCGGCGGCTCAGCTGCGGTAGCTTTGCGCCGCGTTGCGAGGCCGAGCGCGACAGCATCTTATGCGATGTGCTATGTGCGATGTGGAGGGAGTGGATGGTGGGAGGGTGACGTATGGCGGGAGCTGTTGCATTGTTCCGCACGTTTGACTTGGCAGCGGCTGGGATCGGCGACGGACGCCGAAGATCAGAGAGGCGCAGGCTACTCGCGCATGCAAGTGGTTGCTCGCTCCACCGCTGAGGCCTTCGCCGCGGCATGCACGTCATCTCCGGTCCACTGCGTGTCCCTGCTCCGTGGCGACGCTGGAGCGGACTTGGGGCGGGATATCTGCTCCGACTGATGCCCCGACGCGCAGCAGCTAGTACTCTATAGTTGTCGAATGCGCAGCGCCACGGCGTCATACGTGTTATGGTGCCCGACATGTCAGTCGCGTCCTCGTCTGATTGTCACTCGAACATCTCCGCTTCGGACTGACTAGCTTGTCGGCTTTCTTATCCAGCATGATCTCATCGCGTCATGACGCAACGCGCGCCGACGCGATTGTGAGTGATATGGAAGACGTTGAGACGAAGTTGGCGCTGCGACACAGACTGCTTCTCGTCGCATACGCGCATGTGCACAACCCCCTCTACTCAACCTCTCTTATCCACAGCAGAGCTCCCAACCTCGCCCCCTTTCGACTTTCACCTCCCCCCCCCCCCCCCTCCCCCATCTCTTCCTGCGGAAGCTGCTTCATCCCTCGCCTTCTCCCCTCCGCCCCCCATCGCGTTATGCTATTCATTCTCCACCCTAGGATAATCATTCTAACCATTACACGCCCTCTGTTCACGTCAGCAGCTTTCCGACCTCTACTCCGCCAGCAGAACTCACGAGCAAGAGCGGCGTTGTAGCGGTTGACACGGGTGGCAGCAGTGGCGTCGATGGTCTTGTCACCAATGTCGACAAGGAGACCGCCGAGGACCGAGGGGTTGACCTTGTTGGTGAACTTGAGGGTCTTGCCGTCGGCGAGGGCCGAGCCCTTGAGCGCCTTCTCGAGGCGGCCCATGGTCTTGGAGTCGAGGGGCTCGGCCGAGGTGACGACGACCTCGAGCTCTCCCCGGTAGGCGGACATGAGGGTGTTAAAGTCGGCAAAGACCTTCTCGGCGGACGAGAGGCGGCCGTTCTCCGAGAGAACCGCGAGAAGGTTGGCGAGGTAGGGAGACGACTTGGGGACGACCTTGTCGAGGGCGGCCTGACGCTCGAGTGCCGAGAGGGTGGGGTTCTCTGTGGGGGCGAGGAGGTGGTGAGGACGGGAGGAAGGTCAAGGTGAATGCGAGGGAAGACGGCGTCAGTATTTGCGTTCTTTGCACTTTGGCGCGACCCCGGCGACACGGCGCCGCGCAACTCACGGATGAGGGCGGCAAGCTTCTCGTCGGTCTTGAGCTTCTGGCCGAAGGCATCGATCTCCTTGGCAAGAGTCTCAAGCTCCTTGGACGACTTCTTGAGCGCCGCAAGGTAGGCCGAGGTCGCGTAGGTGCCGGTCAGCGAGTTGAGCTGAAGGGGCGCCTGTGGGTCAGTATGATTCGTCGGATATGCAGCCGAGTCGTCGATCTGCGCGCGCGCGCCGCCCGGCGTGCCCAACGTCCAACATGCAGTATCCGATGCCAACATCCGGCATCGAGCACGGGATATGGAGCGTGGACGGTGCGCGCGGCTGATCGCGGAGTTGGTCGGAGAGATTTGGGGCGGGCGGTGGGGAGTGCGCATGAGGACTTTGGGCTGGAAGGGAAGAGACAGACCTTGACCGACGAGGCGGTGGCGTAGCCGCGACGAGCGACGATGCGGGCGATGGAGGCCATTTTGGTGAGAGTGGTGAGGAGGGTGGTGGAGATGGGGTATACGGTGCTTTGCCTGGCAGCGACCTGATCCGATGCGAGATGTCCTTGGTGAGCGGCGGCTGCAGGGTGGCAGCTGTGGCAGCCAGCCAGCCAGCCAGCGTCGGCCGGCCACCCAAGAGGGCCACGAGCTGGGCCGAAGACTGCCTGGGCGGAGAGAGATATTCCCCGCCAGGCCACGAGTTGTGGCGGTTTATGTTGGACGCCTATGCGCCCCTCCTAGGTCTAGGCGCCCGAAGGTTAGTCATGCCTGTGGGTACGCCTAGCCCAGAGAGTTGCTTAAATGGGAGGCCAAATAATGCTTCCACGCGACACACCCAAGGACCGTGCTCGGAAGGCGGCGGGCCCTGATCTCGGGCACGGTAGGGCCGTTAAGAGGGCTCTGAGGACGGTGGTTGGTTTAGAGCGGGTATAGGAGGGTTAGGAGAAACAATGGACCCTGCGGGGTTCAGCTCAAGTGGGGGACGTGGACTTGATTGAGGGACAGGGGTTAGGCACATAACCCTGGTAACTTGTGCCCCTGTCCCAAACACTGGGTGAGGGGTGGCAGAATTCGCCACAAAGGGTGATGTGATCTCTCAGAAGCGAGTGATGGATGTTAATTGACTCATGACTTGGGTATTAGCTTTATTACACTTGGATGTATTTGAATACCATTCGTTGTACGATGGGATTGTTTTTGTACAGTACGACTCCAGATTTGCCTCCGCTGACTCGTTGCTCCTCACCCTCTGCGCTCGCTCCGAGGCAAGGCGTCCACCCCGCGCACCCCGGCCATCCTCTCCTCCTCGCCCAGCTCGCTCGCCCAGGCAGAATTCCTTTGCGCCGACCAAGGCCGGCCTTGCTTTACTCGTTCCCAAACCCCCCTCTCCCCCCCCCCCCCGCCGCTACCGATCCTTGCTCCGACACCTCCGACCACCCCCTCATCACCATCCTCCTCAAAACTCACACTCCTCTTCTACTCTTCTACTCACTCACTCACTCACCACTCCTCCCTCTTCTTGTGCAAAAAAACAACCCCCCTCCCCTCTCCACGCCCTCTCCTCTCCCCTCCTCTCTCCTCCTCTCCACTCTCGGCACGCACGTCGCCACAGATTCCATCTTCCCCTCGCCGCATCTCCCGCGTAAACTCGTCCACCGTCCTCCCTCTCTCTACTCGCGCAAGGACGATTTGCACCCGCCACCCAACTCTCACATCGTCACCGTCGCCGCAGCCGCCGCACATCTCCCTCCTCCTCCTCCTCCTCATCATCATCGCTGCTCTTCGGACCATCGTCAAAGCATCTTCCCTGCCCTTCACAGCTCCCCACCTCGAAAACACCCCGATAGCCCGCCTCTGCACGTGCAGCGCCTCTATCTCTCATTTCGACACTTCTCGACACCAACTACCGGTCCGTAAAGCCCGTCATCCACCCGCATTTTGTGTCTCGGCACTACCACGCAACCCCCTGACATTGCCCAACCCCCTCCCCCAAGTTCTCACACTCGTCCAGCCACCACCTCCACCACCACCCTCTCCACAACCGTTCCTTGACAGAATGAACTCCGTCAACACGGCTCTGCCCCTTCTCAACCTTCTCCACAATGGCAACTACAACGGAAGTCCATCCTTAACCGATAACGGCTTTAGCCGTACCTACAGCGAGTACACTAACGGCTCGGACGCAGAGTCGGCGCAGGGGCAGTCAAATGGCTACAATCCCTCTTACGGATACCCTTACAACGACGACTTGTCAACGTTTGGCCTCTCGGTTCACGACCAGTATGGCTCCCGGCCCACCAGCTCGGGTCAGCCACAAGCCAACGGCACTTACCCCACTCTCGTTGGCCCCGACTTTGCGACCCACCACCACCACCAGTACCGCCCCGATAACGGACACCACGGCCCACACTCGCATCACAACGGAGCAGCCAACGGCGACGCTGCTGCTGCGCGCTACCTCGACATTGACTTGGCACCTGGACCATCCGGCTACCGTCATTCTAGCGGCGACATTTACGCGCAGTCCGAAGCCTCCCAGGAAGGCGGGGCTACACATTCTGCCGTCGACTCGTCGAGGGATGACCACGACAGCAAGGCGGCGAATGGATCACCGGAGGGCGCCGCCCCAACAGAGGGCGCCGAAGCCGACAACGAGGAGCCGCTGTACGTCAACGCCAAGCAGTACCACCGCATATTGAAGCGGCGTATGGCCCGCGCTCGCCTAGAGGAGCTGAATCGCCTAGTGCGCTCGCGCAAGGTACGCTACTCGTGTGAGCACTCTGCTGACTCCAGCCCTACTTGCACGAATCTCGTCACCGCCACGCCTGCTCGCGCCCGCGTGGCAAGGGTGGACGTTTCCTCACTGCCGACGAAATCGAGCAGCTCAAGCGGGAAGAAGCAGCCAAGCAGGACGGCTCTGCGAGCGCCGACGGCGACGCGCCGAGCGGAAGCGTGTCGGGCGAGGGAGAAGGCAGCGGCGTCTCGGACGGTTCGCCCGCCCAGCCATGAGGCACGCGTGTCGCGACGAGCGAGCGTAGTGGTCGCGGACGGACGAGACGGCACGCGCATCACGCGCCTCCTGTGCATCAATAAGCCAGCCACATCTTCAACAGGGCTTGCTATCCAGCTCTCCGCCTCGCCAGGGATCGCACGCCGCCTTGCCGATCGCGCCGTATCGATCGATCCCTCACTTTTTCCATAGACAAAGTTCACCAGCGTGTGTGTACTTCTAGACCTGGGGTTGCTCGCGCAATTGTGGGGCACGGGCATGTTACCGATGTTGTGCAGCGCGGCAGGCCAGCAGGCTGGCAGGCGAGCGCGTTTGCGTGCATCCTGCGTGTCTCCTTGCAGCAGGGGCAGGGGCAATCGCTGGGCTGGAAGCATGGGGAGCATCGGCGCCGGCGGCGGTGGCGGAGGAGTTTTCAACGGCCGAATTGGCCGCTTGCCCATCCGGGCAGATCGGTCCGTTGGCTCTCGCGCTGTGATTGGCCCATAGCCCAGCGGCTCCGGCCCATTCGTTCACTGCACATTCGCGACCCGACCGTTCCGCGCACAGACGATGCTGTATCTTCAGCCGAGCCGAAGCCCCAAGCCGAAACAGCCGCGCACGCGGCAAGCTGGCGTTGCCAGTTCAGATGAGATTGCATACTGCATAAGGATACATACAGGTATCATGTACAGATGGCAGATCAGACCCCTCGGGGCGCCCTGTTGTCCTCCCGGGTAGGCTGCCTACCTCGGATTAAGGATGACACTGGCGATCTCATCATTTCTGCCGGAGTGGGGGTGGGTATGGGTGTGCGGGGTACTAATTTGGGGGACAGACACGGATGCAGTGAACAGAGCAAAGTGACGAGCACCTACGCTACTCGGGCGTCTCGTCCATGCGCTCGTTCGCGGGGTCGTCTTCGTACGTCTCGTTCGGGACGGGCGCGTCGAACGGGTCCGCAGGCGCCGGCGGCGTCGCTTGCCGCTGCCGCTCGAGGTGCCGGCGCAAATGTTCGCTGCGGGGCGGCGGGGCTTCGGGACGGAGCGAGGGAGACGGGGGCGACGGCGGACGCTTCGAGCCCTGGTGTAAGTATCAGTCGTGAAATGCTGGCGATCGCCTGGCGCCAGCCTTCGATCACGCGCCGGCCACGGCACAGACAGCTTGGTGTACCGTCCCTCGCGCGTACTCACAGCCATGACGGGCGGCACCTCGCGCCCGTCCGGCCGCTCCAGCAGCGGGGCGAGGTTGAGCTCGCCCCACTTCGGCCCGTCTTCCTGCGGCATCAGGTTGCCCGCGATCGCGCGCAGGTTGCCGCCGGCCGCCTTCTTGCCGCTCGGCGCGCGCCCGAACGGGTAGCTCGGGTGCAGTTGGGACGGGAGGACCTCGTCGGCGTCGAGGCGCGGCGGTTCGAGCGACGCGGGGACGTCGAGGTTCTCGTCGAACCCCGGCATCACGTGCGCCCACTGCGCGTCGGGCTTCTCGTCGATCAGCAGAGAAAGGATGTACTCGGGCGTGGCGTGGAGGTGGGTGAAGCGCGCGTCCTGGCAGCCGTCAGTGATGCAGTTATGTCGAATGCGTGGGGGGACAGTGGGACAGCCATCTTAGCTACAATCAAGCTGATGCAGCCCAGCTCTGTACCGCTACGCAGCTACTGCAGCCATACGTCCGCACGCCCGCGCCACTACTCACTGTGATACTGGTAGTCATGGTGGATGATGATGTCCAGATAGTTGAGTGGTCACAATTGTTTGTGAGCCGCGTCATGACCACGTGCGCTTACGTCCGCAAGTGGAGGCGGATTTCTCCTCACCAAAGATTTCGGACCACCACCATCGCCCTCGCCACCAACATCATGCTCGAGCGCCGCGTCATCTCCGCCGCGCGCCCAATACGTACGGGGCTGAGGGCATGGTACAGCTCCGAAGCAGGCGACGCCTCGTCCTCTTCCTCAGCCGGGTCGTCCTCGTCCTCACTTTCCTCCCAGTCGTATTCCGACCCCGGTCCTTCCGAACGAGCGCAACGACCTCCCGCACCTTCACGCTCCGACGCCGAGCCCTCCCGCCCGCTTCCTGGATCCGACCTTCCCCCCGAGGCCGCGAATCTCGACCAGCTGTGGCGCAACGCTCTCAGCGCTCCGTGAGTCTTCCCCTCTGCCCCTCCCCCCTCCCCTCCACTAACCCCAGCGCCTCGGCACTCAAAAAGGCGCCGCGCACCTCCGCGAAGGCCCGCTCCCTGCTCGCCAGCGCAACCCCCGCGCCCCGCACCTTCAAGGGCACGCTGCAGCGCACGCGCCGCGCCGAAGGCCAGACGCCGCACGAAGCGGGCCAGTTCAACAAGACGCTGGGCAACATCCTCGCGGACCTTGTCAACAAGCAGTGGAAGGTGGACGGGGACACGTTCGCGGCGCCCGGCGCGGCGCGCGGCAAAAGCTTGGCACACCTCACCTCCGCGCCTGCGGGGTGGGGCCGTTCGCCGCGCGTCGAAGAAGACGACGCGGAACTCACGGCCGCGCTCGACACGCTGAAGGAGGAGCTGAGCGGCGTGCAAACGCCGGGGGAGGCGGTGGTGTGGGCGCAAGCAAATGTGTTTGCGCGCACGCACGAGATGCGCGAGGGCGGCGAAACCCCCCGGCCGCAGTGGCCGCGGACGTATCCCAAAGCCTTGGCAGAGCTCATCAAGACGCTGTGGGAGCGCATGAACGCGCCGCACCTCGCGCTCGCCATGTTCGAGCATGCGCGCACGCTCAGCGTCGAGAGCTACCTCGATGGATGCCAGACGAGCGCGTACAACCAGCTCATCCGCGTGCATTGGGACGCGTTCCGCGACCTCAATGCCGTGCTCGCGGCCGTGCAGGAGATGAAGGTCAACGGCGTGGGGTGGGACCGGTACACGTCCGGATATGTGGGCGGGATCGTCGAGGCGGCCGGCAAGGAATTGCTCGACGCGCGCAGCCGCAGCGCCACACACAGGTGGGGCAGCGAGGCTTACATCACCCTGTCCAAGCTCGAGGAGAGGTGGCTCGAGGACCAGAAGCGTGAGGAGAGCAAGTACGAGCGCAGGATAAGCATCAAGCGCAGGGCACGGCAGAGCGCGGCCGCGGCGTGGTAGGGAGGAGAGACACGACGGAAGAGTATTCTTGACACATTCTAGACTAGCACAGCTCCGCATCTCTGCATATGGTACAACAAGTGGCCTCACGCCGTCTCGTCTACTCGCCTCCGCTCTGCAGGCGCGCTTGCGATTGGGAGAACAGCTTCTGTTGAAGAGCTTGGAGCTCTTCAGGCGTCATGCCGTTTGTGTTGGGCTGATTGCGCTGGCGGTCTTTCTGTGACTGCTTGAACTCGCCGTGCGACTCGTCGACCTCAGAGATGAAGGACTCGAAGCCAAGTTGCTGGAGTTAGATGGGGCCGGCGCGGGGGAGAAGTGGGAGGACTGAGAGAGGGAATAGCTGGGAGTTCAGGCTGCAGGAGATTGGGGAAGAAGAACCTCTCGCCAAGCTTAGCCGCCTCTCAGGCGAAAGTCTACCTCCCGTAGGCTGAATGAAGCGATGTGATGAGATGTGGACGATAATAGGAACACGTAAGGCGAGGTGATGCCGCGTGACCCATCCATCTGAGCTCGAGCACAACACTTTGACCCCTCTACCGCTTGCGGAGAGCGACGAACAATGCCCACACACACCTTGAGCGCTTCCAAAACATGCTCCGGCGAGATGGTTTTCTTGCTGCTCTCTTCGCAAACAGTGTTACTTTGCGCGGAGATGAGCTTGATCCATTCTGACATCAGCATCTTCTTGGGCGCCATTCTCGCATCCAACGCACCAACGCAGCAGTCGACGATGATCTCTTTCGTGTCTTTGGCGCACGACAAGTCGTCGGGGAGCATTTCTGTCGTCAGCCGCGTCCCTTCACTACGTGCCGCTCTCCCAACCCCAGCCAACAGCCGAATAAGGCAGCAGCACGAGCAAAACACAACCCACCACTGATCAGCTTGTACACAGTCGCCTTCGGAAGTGTGTGCTCGTCGTCGCCTCCGCCGAAGCCCTCGCGGTCTGACATAGTGGATGGATGGGTGGCGGGATGGAGATGGAGTGTTGACAAAGAGGTGACGAAATCCTGAAATGCAATGAGCCTCCACCGCCGCATGTCAACAACTGACTGTCCATCCTCCTCGCCCTCTAAAACATGGCCACCGCAGGCCGCACCCAGACCGTGCATGGCGGCGACCCACAAGTACGTCGCCCCGCGCCAGCGCTGACCCTAGAACCTCGTGGAAAAGGTCATCCGCGCGCGCATCTACGACTCGACGTACTGGAAAGAACACTGCTACACGCTGAATGGTGCGCTCCCCCGCTGCCCCGGCTCCGCTGACTCCAGCCGAGACGCTCATTGACAAAGCGATCGCACTGCACGCCATCGGCGGCGTGTACGAGCGCCAGACGCCTACGCCGTTCATGTGCCTCCTCCTGCGCCTGCTGCAGCTGCAGCCCGAAAACGAGATTCTGTTCGAGTACCTCCTCGCCGAGGAGTTCAAGTATCTGCGCGCCCTCGCGGTCATGTACATCCGCCTGACGTTCCGGAGCATGGAGGTGTACGAGATCCTCGAGCCGCTGATGAAGGACTACCGGAAGCTGCGGTATCGGCAGGTCGGTGAGTGCGCGCGTAGAGCCTGCTGACAGCAGGCGGGTATACGCTCACGACGTTTGACGAATTCATCGACGAGCTCTTGACGCAGGACCGCGTGTGCGACATCATCCTCCCGCGGCTGACGCAGCGCGCCGTTCTCGAGGAGACGGAGGGGCTGGCGCCGCGCAAGTCGCTCCTCGAGGACGAGGAGGAGCGGGGGCGGCGCGCGATGGCGACGCCCTCGGACGGGGGGTCGCGCGAGAGCTCGCCCGATCTGCGACGGCGCAGCCGCAGCGCCTCGTCAGGCTCAAGCCGGAGCCGCTTCGTCTCGCGCTCGCCCAGCCGCAGCGACTCGGAGGACGAAGGCGAGGTCGGCGACACGCGGCGATTCGTGTCCCGCTCGCCCAGTCTGTCGCCCGACCGCGAGATGGCCATGCAGGGGGACAAGATCGAGGGCGACGTGTAGATTCGGGTATAGACATGCATAGCTGTATCACTGTCACTATATACATAGGCTACCGCCGCGGCGTGCCCTTGCTCATGCGCCCCTCGAGCTCGTCGACCTTGGACGCGAGCTTGGTCGCGTTCGTGTCGATGCTGTGGATGGCGCGCAGGTGGGCGCCGAGGATGGCGCTGAGCTGGTTGATCGGATCTTCGCTCTGCTGGCTCGCGGCGTCCGCGGCGTTGGGCGCGCTGGGCGGCGCGACGCTCGCGCTCGTCCCCGACGTCGAAAGCTTGTTCACCTCGTCGATCATGGCGGATAGGTTACGGCCGATGTCGTCCAGCTGCTTGTTCAGGTCCTCGGCAAGCGCGTAGGCCTTCTCGCGCTCCCGGTCCGCAGGCATCTTGGGCGCCAGCGGCTTGCTGTCCTTGTCACCCATACTCGAAATTTCGCGCTCGTAAGCAGTCAGCATGGCGTCCAGCTGCTTCTGCTGGTTCTCGATGTAGTCGAGGTTCTTGTCGAGCGTCGCCTGGTTGGTCTGCGCCTCGACCACTTGCTGGTGCAGCGCTGCAATCTGGTTGCCGTTCCGCACAAGCACCTTGTCCCACTCTCTTACCTCGCCCGCCTGCTTTTCGAACTCCTTCACCTGTGCCTCGAGGTCCTTGCTCCACCCATCGACAATGTCGTCAAGCGTCTTGCCGCGGAGGAGGTTGGGTGGGGGCTCAGTCACCTTGGCAGCCTCTCCAGCCGGGGAGCCGGGCTTAGTGCCAGCCATGCTGATGGTCACAGCGGGCGTCACGGCACCAGTGGCGGGCGCAGTCGCAGGCTTAGAGCCGAACAAGCCGCCGGCCGCGGGCGTAGATGAGCCAGCGGCTGCGGTAGAACTCTCCGCGGGCTTGGGTGCGCCGAACAGACTGCCAGCTGCGGTAGAGCTCTCCGCGGGCTTGGGCGCACCAAACAGGCTGCCAGCTGCGGGCGCAGCTGCCGCAGGCGCCTTGCCCGCCTCATCCTTCTGCTCCGCCGGCTTGTCGGCCGGCTTACCAAAGCTCCCAAAGAGAGAACCACCGGCAGCGGGGGGCTTGGGAGCCTCAGGCGCTTTGGCAGCCTCAGCGGGCTTGTCGGCAGTCTTGCCCAAGTTTGCAAACAGGCCGCCGCCGGAAGCAGGGGCGGCAGGCGCAGCAGCAGGCGCAGCGGCAGGGGTGGCTGCTCCAGATGCAGGTGTGGACTTGCTCCCAAAGCTGAAAAGCGAGGCCGCGGCAGGAGCTGCTGGTGCAGCAGCGGCGTCCTTTTTGTCTTCAGGCTTGGCTCCAAACAGGCTCGGCGCAGCGGGAGCAGCAGGCTTGCCGAAAAGGCCACCGGCGGGGGCAGTCGTAGGGGTTGTGCTGCCGCCCGCAGCGGCTGTTGTGGCGGCCTGACCGAAGCCTGTGCCGAATAGCGATGACCCAACAGGCGGGGCTGCGTCCTTCTTCTCCTCGGGTTTAGAACCGAACAAGCTCGGCGCGGCAGCGCCCGTTGCAGGCGTGCTGCTGGCGCCGCCACCAAATAGGCCGCCCGACGGCGTCGCGGTCCCGCTGGCAGGGGTCGACGCCGGCTTTCCGAAGCCGCCGAAGAGCGAACCTGCGGCAGGCGCCGCGGGGGCTGCTGGAGTCGTGGAGGCAGGAGTCGTGGAGGCGGGGGCGGCAGTCTTGCCAAAGCCGCCGAAGAGGCTTCCGCCGGCAGGTGCGGCCGGCGCGGCGGGAGCGGAGGTGGACGGATTGGGTGCAACGGCGGAGGCACCAAATAGTCCTCCAGAGGGCTGGGAGCTGCCGCCACCACCAAACAGACCGCCTACAGGAGGAGTGGATGCGGGCGTCGTCGACCCGGCAGCCGGCGCGCCGAAGAGCGGTTTGGGTGTGCTCGACCCGCTGTCTGCAGGCTTGCCGAATGCACCACCCCCAAACAGGCCACCGCTTGGGGCTGCGGGGGCGGCGGGAGTAGCAGCGGTCGAGTTGGAGGCCGCGCCGCCAAAAGAAAAGCCGCCTGGCTTCGCGGCGCCGCCAAACCCACCAAACCCGCTCGTTGGCGCTGCTGTGTTGGTGTTCGTGTTGGTGTTGCCGCCAAACAGGCCGCCGCTGGGGGCTGCAGGCGCGCCGCCGGGCTGTGACCCCGCTGCGGGCGTGCCACCCGCGCCGCCGCCACCGAATAGCCCGCCCGTGCTTCCCGCGTTGGTGTTGCCGCCGAACAGACTGCCGCTAGCGCCGCCCGTCGTGTTGTTGTTGGCTGTCGTCAGTTTGGCATGGGAGCTAGCGCACCTCCGCCGAAGGAGAAACCGCCTGCTGCATGTCAGAGCCATCTGGATATTTTCACGTACGCTTGTTGTTGTTCTGGTTGAAGCCCCCAAAGCCGGACATTGTGGATGGAGTGTTGTTGATGAGGCGCAATGATGCTGCTCGGTGTGACGACCAAGATTCTCGGGCGCCTATTGAGTTCAAGGCATCCAGGCGGAATATTGTTTAGGGCGCCTGTAAGTCCGCGGCCTGAATTTGGTTCCGTCCATCTGCGAATGTTGAAGTGCTTGTCACCGCGTTTCCACTCGACCTCAAGCATCAACATCGCATCAACAATGTCCCAGGTCGCTGTACGTTGCCCGCCGAGAACCGAGTTGACGATAGCCCGTTAACCCCCGTCCGTTTCTGCAGGACCTGACTGGCAAGACCGTGTCCGTCAAGTTGAAGTGGGGCTTGGAGTACCGCGGTTTCCTTGTGTCGACGGACGGATACTTCAACTTGCAGGTGAGTAGCGGCGCAGGAGGACGAGCAGGCGCGCACGCGTACTGAGAAGCGTGGGAGGGAGTGGCACGTAACATTTGCGGAAGCGGAGATGTCGAGGATGCGCAAGGGAAGGCTGCTGTCCAGAGGGAAAACGGAGGATATATGCGCCTGGGGCCGCCGCTGACGCGCAGTTGACAGGTACCGAGGAGATCGAGGACGGCAAGAGCAACGGACAGCTCGGAGAGGTGTTCATCCGCTGCAACAACGTGCTGTACATCCGGTGAGCTCGAAGTGCGGTGCTGTAGCTGACGGGTAGTGAAGCGAAAGATTAGCGCGAGCGAGTGGGCGAGCGATGGGAGAGACTCGCCTGGTCTGAGCGATGTGAGAGGAGCACCGCGGTAGAGTGTGCGCTTTTGTATGGCGTAGGATGCCATGATACCAGCAGCGAACATTGGTGAATTTAATCTGAGATACCAAGCCACGGCGAGACGTGTGATCTTGTCAGTGAGGAGCATAACACAGAGTGCCAGATTGCGCAGAGCGCCGGAGGCCGAGAAGGATTACCATGTTATGGGCGGGTTCCCAGCATTGAGCCAGCTCACTCAACGGCCCCTATCACCACGCCACGAACATCTGCCATTACCATTACGATGCGTACATAGGCCCAAACTACATGCTGTGTTGTGTTGCGCGCACCGACGCGCGCTCTAGTGAGTCTACGCCTAGACAGTGACCTTGGCGAGGGCGTCGGCCAAGTCATCCGTCTCCTTGTCAGAGACGGGCTTGCCCTTGTCGTCGGCGCCGGCATCAACGCCGTCGTCCTCGCCAGCCTTGGCCTCGGGCGAGATACCCTCCTTCTCGGCCTCCTTCTGCTCCTCATCCTCGCTCTCACCCTCCTCGCTCTCGCTCTCGTCCTCTTCCCCGCTCTCGGGCTCCTCCATGTCGTCGAGGTCGTCGAGCGCGTCCTCGTGGCCGTGCACGGCGAGCGCCTCGCGCAGCTTCTCGATGCACTCGTCCTCGGGGTCAGCCTGGTTGCCGTTAATCTCGAGCGTCGTCAGGTCCTTGAGGTGCTGGGTGATAGCGACGGAAAGGAGGTCGATCGTGCGCTTGTCAAACTCGCCGTACTGGAGCTTAAGAGTCTGAAGCTTGGGGTTGGAACCGGCGCCGAGGCTGGTGGCGAGAGCGATGCCGCCAGCCTTGCCGAGCAGGCAGTCGGAGAGGTTGATCTCGCGGAGCTCTGGCCAGTTGGTGAGCTGGCGGACGATGGCGCGAGTGCCGCTCCGTGTCGCGGTGTTGTCTTGGAGGTCGAACACCTCGAGGGTGGGGCACGCGGCGAGCCCCTTGGCGATGGCGGCAATGCCCTCCATGCGGATACCGTTCTGGGGCATGCGGACCTCGCGAAGGAGGCCGTGCGCCTCGAATGCCTTAGCCCACGCCGGCGCCGACCCGTTCTCGAGACGGTTACGTCCGCAAACAAGCACACGAAGCTGGCTCTCGCGGCCCGCCGCCTTGGCGCGCACCGCATTCTCATACAGCGCATTGGCGACGATCGTACCGCCGGCAGGGCCCATGCCGTTGTTGTTCAGCTTGAATACCTGGAAGACGGTGTTGTTCTCCAGGAAGGGCACCATGGCGTCGGCGCAGCGTCCACCGAACGCGTTGTCGCTGAGGTCGAGCTCGACGAGCGCGGGCGAGTCAATCAGCGCATCACACAGCGCACTGAGCGCCTGAGGAATCTCCGAAATCAGGCGGCCGGTGAAGATGTCGGCCAAGTCGACGACCTTGTGTCAGCGGGAAAGAACACGAAGCTCACCTTGAGGCTCTTCTTCTCTTTGAGAACGGCTGCGATGGCCTGGCACGCCTCAACGCCGAGCGAGTTGCCGCCAAAGTGTACCTCCTCGACATCGTGGAGGTCAGCGAGCTCGGTGATGTACGGCTCGAGATCGGCTTTGGTGTTGGCCTTGAGGTTCTTGCCGAGGATAGAGAAGACCTTGCCGCCGTTTGAGGAGGACATTGTTGGAGTTGTTGACAAGGTGGAAGGAGATGGGGTGGTGCTGATGTCGCGGCAGGAAAGTTGAGCTGGGGCTTCGACTTGTCGGTTGGGCCGGCGGGTGTTGGGTGGCGATCGACAATCCTCACTGACGGGATCAGATTGCAGGTGACCACGTGATCTTAGGCACTGAGCCGGCATCCTCAAGTAGTATGAATGATGGTCGAGAACAAAGTCGTGAGCTCGTCTCGTGTGAGCAATTAGCAACGAGTGCAGCAGAAGCCCATGCGACAGCTGGGCTGCTACAGCTGCAATTGTGCGGGGCATTTTGTATACCATAATTGGTCTGGAGATGCTCGTGGTGGTACGGGGGAACAAGGCGCCATCATTCCATCTCCGTGTTCCGTGTGACGACCTCGTCTTCGCTGGCCCTCACCCGGACTGGCAGGTGATGGAGGAAGCGCAAGGATGAGTCGATGAGTAACAGGAAGGGTTCGAAGCAGCTTTGCAGACCGATTAGCATGTTGATTGCACGCCTTTTATCTTTTGATATGTGTCTCTATATTCGGATTCTTTCTCACGCCAAGTCCATTTAATGAATTGAGCGCCTCCACCAGAGATCTGGAGACAAACACAACCCGTCTTCTTCGTCTTCATCCTTCCCATCGCCACCAACAATGGCCGCCGAGAGCGCCGTCGGAGGCTGGACGCCTGGCGGCGGGTCGTCGCTACGCCCGCTGCCCAACACAATACCGTCCCAAACACAGGCGGACACTGGGGCTGTGAGGCTTTTTACCACCCATGGCCATTCCGCACGCCCAGCAGCTCACACCAGCCACCATACTACGTCCCCGAGGCGGCCAACGACCCCACCTCGAACCGATACCCGCGCACGTCGATGCACTCGGACGACTCGTCGGGCGGGTGTGGTGACTGCATGCGCACGACGGCCGAGTGGATCGACGACCGGTGCTGCTGCGGTTGTTCGCCGACACAACGGTCGAACGAGCTGTGCGCGTATGTCTGTGTCGCCTGCGTAGGCGGGTGTTGCGGCGCGTGCAGCAAGGCGTGTTGAGACTGAGGAACGGCGCGGAGGGCGTGGTGGGGTTGGGCATGGAAGACGGGCGGACGCAGGTCGGAGGGCTGTGGGCTGTGGGCTGTGGGCTGTGGGCGTGGGGGCCGATGGCGCGAGTACGTTCGCTTCCGGGCACGTGTACATGTATCAATACCGCACACCAGTGGAGGAGAAAAACAGCAGCAAGGCAGTCGGCTCAGAAGAGCCACCGGGAAGAGTCGTACCAGAGTCCAGAATGATGGGAGGAATGGAACTTGTCAAGGCGGGCGAGCTCGCGACTCGAAACACCTCGGATGTGAGTCGACTCGACCAGGCCCCGACCCAGACTCCATCAGCATCCACTTCGGATACAACACAGCGAGTATGCATACTCGTCAAGCTGTGCAAACCTTGCTCAACTCGAAACGTCCCAGTGCAGTGTTGGAGGGTGGAGGAGCACTCTCCCGAAACATGTCGGCAGTCGGCACCGCTCGTGCCCACCGCCCCGAACCGGTGCGGTGCCTAGATGCGGAATGCACCGCCTAGCGGGGCGATGCTTGTCGACTCGTACAACTTTCTTTCGACTACCCAGCCATCACGTTCAAGTATGAAACGCCATCCCGTGCGCTGTGCACCTCGCCCTGCGCGCTCAGAGGACATCGCACGGCAAGCCGCAGATATAAACGCTGACCATGATCCCCCGCCCCACCATCCCCATCCCCATTACCCGGCGTCTCTCTGCACTTGACCATGTCGCCAAAGAACTTGACCCTCCCCAAACTCATCATCACCCCGCCATCACGCGAGCCCACGCCGCAACTCATCATCGTCCCCGCCGACTGGGAGCGGTACCCGGGCATAACCTTCGCCGTGCCCGTGCCCGCGCCGCAACCGCCCCGTGCCCACGCGCACCACCAACGGCCGCCGGCGTACCGGCCACCAGCGCCGCCCGTCGAGCAGTTCGACCTGCCGACGCCGACGAGCGAGAAGCGGTGGCACGTGTCCGGCCGCGCGCGCGGCGCCGGCTGGGCGACGTCCGAGACGAGCTTGATCCACGACGCGGCCGACGACGCGTACATGGCCGCATTTGGGGAGGCGTTGTTCGACTTTTACGCCGAGGAGAAGAGCGGCCGGATCAGCCTCGAGAAGGCCGAGTACGACTACTCCGAAGAAAAGGAGGGGTGTCGGGACGCCGCGCCCTATGCTGCGTATACGAGCGCGTATGCGCGCGCTGGCGAGGCGGGGGCGTGGCGCCAGCGCCAGCGCCGTGGGTCACGGCCTCCGCCGCCTGTGAAGCCGCTCGACTTGCCGGGGTCGGGCGCGCGTGCTGTCGCGCCGGGGAATCCAGAGACAAAGCGGCCCCGGCGGAGCAGCTGGTGGAGTTTGGGCAAGCGGTGATTAAACGATAGAGATGTTGTAATGCCATATGGGCTTGGGTTTTCACTGGTTGGCGAGCATGGAGCGCAATTGAGTAGTGAGTGTCCAGCTATCGAGTGGTCAGATGAGGACTGCTTGTGAGTGGGCTAAACTCATCGCAAAGCGACGCGATCGTGCGTGAACGGCGTGCATATTTGAATGGGGCTCTCAGTTGGCCTGCGACAGGAGCAGGATTCCATTTAGTCTGGCACAAGTGGTGAGGAAGAGGACATAGGAGACATCGAGTTCTCAGCGCCCTCCGCAGGGAGAACGGCGACGGATGCATGATGGATAGCGAGCACGCCTGGACTGATGGCCAAAAGGTAACCTTTGGTAACCGCGTCCTGAGCCCGTGCTCGGACCGAGAACTGCAGTGAGCTAAAGCTGCAGCCCCCAATCCTAAAGGCATCCTGCGACTCAGGGCGGGAGGCGTCACGGCACCGTCAGGCCGGCATCTCTAATCCCGACTATACTCCGACCACGCATGATTGGCGAGCGTGCCGAAAGGCGCTGCGTCTTACCACTGGAATCGAACCAGGGACCTAATCGTACGCGGCACGGCCGGAGACTGCTCCTCTTGGACCTGCAGTAATCCAAGTGAGCTACCTGACAAGGTTGGATACCCATATGCGAATCTGCCTCTTTTGAGGGGTCTGGGGGAGGGATAGGATAGAAGTGGGGCGGCTGGGGGATTTCATGATTATGGTCGTCTGCGGTGCTTTGGTGGTTCGTTCGCGAAAATCGAATGCGTGCAAATGCATGCAGATGCGTTAAACGAAAGAAACGTGCCAAGGGCGCGCAGAAGGGCCCTCTCGAGGCGCTGCATGCGTAGTTTTGATTGGTGCAAAGAAGCGGACAAAAGATTATGCCGGCATGTGTCCTGATCGTTGGAGGGCGTTGAGAGGCGCACGAAGTGTAGCTTTTGAGATCTAGACAACCCATGCTTCCGGGTTCTGCGGGATACACGCTCCAACGCTGAGGTGGCGAGGGAACTGTCTGGTAAAGGTCATCTCTCTTCAAACTGCCCCACAACGTTGCGACCTACAAGTCTTCTCCGAGGTTGTATCCTCACGAGCCTCAGCGCTTCTATCACTCTCGCTCTCCGCGACCAAACCTAACAATGCATATGCCAAACACTACTCTATAATTACTCCCTACAGGCGCGTGGGGGCGCGCACGTCGAAAGCGCCTGTCCCACTCCCGCTCGGCTTGCCGAGCACGATTCTCGCCGCTGGCGATGTGAGGTCGTCAAAGTCGCCGTGTAACGTAGCGTCCGAGAGGAACGCGACCGTCGTCTCGAACGACGCCTTGAGCAGTGGCGAGCTCTTCTGCGAGATACCCGTACGGTTGAAGGGCGAGTAGCCGCCCGCGTGCGTCATGTAGTCCGCGATGACCGTCAAGTGGCGGTAGTCGACGCCGATGCCGTACACCCCGAAGATGCCTGCCATTTCATTGATGATCGTGCGGCGCGCAGCCTCGACACCGTATGTCTGCAGAATGGCGTAGACGTCGTTCGAGCCGATCTTGTCCAGGTCAACGAGCTCGTCGGCAAGCGACCACATGCCGCGGATGTTGGAGCCCTCCGTCGTGAGCGAGCGCGAGAAGACACCCTTATCGTCAAAGTTCTTCAGGCAGCGCCCGATAGCCGGGATCTCGTGGATCACGGCCTCACGACATGCCTGCTCCACCAGGTCGACAAGCAGGAGCTTGGGCGCCTGCCCAGGGAACTGAAGCTCAAACTGCGCACTCTTGCCCTTCGGGTCGAAGTGGAAGTCTGTTGCAAACTTGCTCGCGCGCTTGAACTGCTCAGAGAGCACGTCGGCGGCCGCGTTCCACGCCGCCTTGGCAGCAGCGTCCTCGTCCTCGTCTTCCGAGTCCGAGTCGCTTGCAGCTCCACCCTCAATCATGTCCTCGAGATCTTGCACGCCGACCTCCGCTTCGTCGTCCTCGTACTCGAGCGCACGCGTCTGCCTCGCGCGCTTGAGCTGTCCCGAGTCCTCGTCGTCGTCATCGTCGTCGAGCTCATCGTCTTTCCCTCTCCGCGGCGCCTCTCCTTCCTCCTCGGCGCCGGCGCGAAGACGCAGGCCTTTACCAACCGCCTTGTCCTGCTCCTGAGCCTTGATAGCCGTCCGCGACTGGTTGACGATCTGACGCTTGATACGGTCCGCAAACGACGTGCACAGCGCATCGTGCAGCTGGTCCACAGTGATCTTGTACTCTTCCGTGTACTCCTCTGGAGGGTAGAAGTCGAGCAGAACAGTGTACTTGCGCACGCGCGAGTTGTTGGCCTCAGCCGACTTTCCTGACAGTCTTTCCGTGACAGTGACCTTTTCGACGACCTCCGAAAGCGTGAGGCGGCTCACGTGCTTGACGAATGCGTCGGCGTCACTTGCCTCGACGTGCTCACGCAAGGGAAGCGTCATTGTCGGAGTAGCAGGCTTGCGCGCCGCCGTCATGACAATTTCACGCAAACGCGGAATACCGAGCGTGACGTTGGCGGCACCGTGACCGGCCAAGTGGAAGGTGTTGAGCGTCATCTGAGTCGACGGCTCTCCGACACCTTGCGACGCCAACAGACCGACCGCCTCTCCGGGCTCAACTAGCGAACGCATGTAGCGCACTCGTGCGAGCTGCGTGAACTCGCGCTCAGGGATGCGGGCCGAGGCGTATGCCGAGGGTGGCGTATCGCCCTTGCGGGGCTGAATGTATCCGGCGCGGTTGGAGGCAATGTACTCGTTGACGTCCCGTGCGTACGCCTCCGACATCGATCCAAGGTAACGGCTCGGCTGGTAGATGCTCATAGCTGGCTCGTACTTGTGCGGCTTCTTGAGCGCCTTCTTGCTCCAGTCGATAGCCTCACTGTCGTCGACCTTGCCGACAATCGCACTGGGGTCGTACTTGTTCAGCATCGAGTCGTGGTTGCGTGCAGCGAAGTCGAACTTGGTCAAGTGCTTCGACTTGGTGACGTCGATCGCATCGTCGCCATACAGGAACTGCAGGATGGACGAGTCAGAGTCGCGCACAGTGTGGTCGTAGTGCACCTTGACGCCCTCGAGATGCTTGATCAAACAGCGCTGCAGGTAACCGGAGCGGGCAGTCTTGACGGCCGTGTCGATAAGACCTTCGCGACCAGCCATGCAATGGAAGTAGTACTCTTGCGGGCGAACACCAGTCAAGAAACGGTTCGCTACGTAACCACCAGCGCGGGCCGATGTGTCGTACGCCTTGAAGGCAGGTAATGTCTTTCCCGACACCATGGTGGGTACACGGCGACCTTCAAGGGCCTGCTGACCAAGCAGCGTCGAGATCTGCGACGCATTAACCTTGGAGCCCTTGGCACCGGAGATGGTCATGGTCTGCATGTTGTTGTCGGGGAAGGGGCGGATGAGGTGGGCCGGCAGCACGTCGTTGTTGATCTTGGATGTCGTCTTGTTGAACTTCTGCTGCATCACGCCGTCGTAGCCCGCCATGAGCGAGTCGTCGTGCAGGATCTCCTCGAGACGCATCTTGAGGTTGGCCTGAGCAGATGGGTCGTCCGGGCTGGAGCCCTCGGGCAGGCCGACGTACTTCATCGCGGTATACACACCGTCCTCTTTAGCGGCATCGAGAATGTCCTTGCGGAGCTTCTCGCCCTCGGCCGTGAGGATGAGGTCGTCCATACGACACGTGAACGCAGTGTGCTGGAGGTACTTAGTAAGCACGCGCGAGAGCACGGCGAGCAATCGGTTGGCGATGTATGGCCCGTACAGCTCGTGAACAGAGTGCACGAGACCGTACGACGACGCTCCGTACTGCGACTTGTCAAGGATACCGACGAGAAGGTGGCCGTCGACGAAGATGACTTGTTCCTCGGACATGTCCTTGTCCTTTGAGTCGTCGCGCTGCCACAGGCTGTTGGCGACCTTGTTCTTGGACATGAGGTTGATGCCCCTGGCATTGGGAGGAGTCAGGTTGAGCAAGATGGTCGAGAAGATCTGCTTGCCGGTCCACATGGGACGAGGCTTGAAGATGGCTGGAGGGAGAGTGCGGATGCGGCCGCCACCAGTGTAGTTGTTCTCCGTGCGGAGAGCGCCGTAGATCAACTGGTAGTACTCCTCGCGCGTGAAGAACGTCGACTTGTTGCACATCCACACACCGGCAACGACGTGGTCCTGAATCAGGCCACGAAGAGGGTTACCCGACGTTGGGACGAGGTACTGGTTGTCGGTGTTGGCGATCATCTGGGCCTCGGCGCGCGCAATCTCGTTCTGCGGGAAGTGGATGTTCATCTCGTCACCGTCGAAGTCGGCGTTGTAAGAGTTGCAGTTGGCGTAGTGCATGCGGATCGTCTTCTCACCGTGAAGCACCTTGACGCGGTGGCACATCATCGACGGCTTGTGCAGTGTTGGCTGACGGTTGAGAATGACAATGTCCCCGTCACGAATATGGCGGTACACCTTCTTGTTGCGGGCAGGAATCGATGTGCTGCTGCCGCCGGCGAACTGGTCATTCTGGGGCGTGAGGAGCTGGTTGGCGACCGCCTCGCGCTGCTCGAGCGACATCTTGTCCAGCGACACCTGCGTACCGTCCTCGTTCTGTACAATCGTCGCGCCAGGGTGAATTTTTGGGCCGTTGATGACCAGGCGGCGCATCTCGTGGATGTTCTGTGGCGTCACGGGTTCGGGGTACGTAAGCTTCTTCGCGAAGACAGGAGGGATACCGATCTCGTTAGTCTCGATGTTGATGTCGGGCGAGATGACAGAGCGCGCGGCATAGTTGACACGCTTGCCCATCATGTGCTTGCGGAACAAGCCCTCCTTCTTCTCGAGCAGCTGCTTGATGCCCGGCGGCGGAAGCTTGCCCTGCGCCATGACAGTGGGATTCTTGGTGCTGTCGATGAAGCTGTTGACGTCGTGCTGCAGCTTGACGAGCGTGTCAAGGAGCATCCCGTATGTGCGGGTTTCGTCGATGCCCTTGAGCTTCTCAGCAAGCTCCGGGGACTTGTCCTGCCGGCTAAAGTCACGCATAGTCTGGTTGAGTTGCGAGACACGATCGCACGTGTTGATGAGAGCGGTAAGGAGCGTGTTCTGAGGGTTCTCAAACAAGTCGTCGCCCATCATAGACGCGGGACGGAAGCGGGTGGGGGTGACGGGCATGACGTCCATGAAGAACATGTCGGCCACAGGAGCTGGGTTGGCGTGCGCGCGCGTCGACGGTGTTCCGTGGCGGCCGTAGATGAGAGTGCAAATCTCAGACTCGAGCTGGAACAACCTCCTGAGGTGCATGCGGACCTCTCCAGGAGGCAAGACCCTCTCGTTGCGGCCGCGGGCACCCTTAATCTGCCCCGAGGCTGTCCGTGCAATGCCGTCGACACCAAGGCCCTCGTCGACCTGGTCTTCCGACTCATCGGAGGAGCGCTCCTCTTCGTCGACGTCCATCTCGTCCTCACTTCCGCTGCTCCCTGACGCCGAGCTGGCCTCGATGCCCTCGTCGATCTCCATGGCGTCGCTCTTCTTCTTCTTCCCAGCAAGCGATGGTCCGTTGACGCCGAAACCAGTTGTAACCTTCTTCAGGTTGAGCACGCCGTTTGCCTGCTTCTGCTTAGGCGTGAGGTCGTACTCGACGATCTTGATCGACTTCTCCTTCCGGAAGGTGTTGCCGTACGCCTGGCAATGGGAGCAACGGTTCCAGATCTTCTTGCCGAACTCCTGTAGTACTCGACGGCGCTCCTCGTACACCAGTCCATCCTTGTACGCGTCGCGCTCGTCCTTCTTCTTCCTCAACTTGAGCACCTGCTTGACGTACGTCTCGATGCGGAGGATGAACTCGGCAGCGCTCTCGGCGCTCACATTCGCGTCGGCATCATCGGCTTCGCCTTCCTCGTCGCCTTTTGATGCACCAGCATTGGGAGCAAGGTGGGCCACATAATGAGCTTCCTCAAGACACCCAGCGTCGAGCAGGCGCAGGCGCGCAACGTATCGCTTCAGCTGAGGGGGTCAGTGACAGATGCGGTGACTACCTTACGATAATCTCTGGCATCTTGAAGTGGTGGCAGTACATGCACACTCCGCGGAGCAGCTGGTAGCACTGGTTCATGAACAGTGGGTGATACACTGCTGATGGCAGCTCGATGTGCCCGTAGTGTCCTGGGCAGTCGAAGTAGGACAGCTTGCACGTCTCGCAGCTGTACGTCAGCTTGCGCTCTGAGCTGTGAGCTCACATGTCACCCTTCTTCATGGGGCCGAGCTTGGGGTCGTACAATCCCCCGCGCGTGGGCATGTTGAGGTTGTCGAGGAGGGTCGCATGGTCGATCTTCTGAACCGAAATTGACTTGATGTCTTCTGACGAGAGGAACGAGAAGGAGAGAGAGGAGATCTCCGAGTGGAGGGGGTGTGCAATGTCCATGGTGAGTGGACCGGCGAGGGCGGTGGGCGATGCGATGCGAAGAAAGTTGCACGCCCGCCCTGTGGTGTAGATGGCGGCGGATGAGGTGGTGTCGAGGAGGCGAGTGTTGGTGAGCTCGACGGTGACCACATCTCGAGCTGAACTTTTGATTCTGGCGGAATCAATTTTTTGGAGACCCCGGGTGGAGGCGCATGGCTCACACGTGAGGAGAGGGTGAGGAATAACAAACAAAGGCGGGATCAGAAAAGCTAATAAAGATTAGGTTTATGCCTTAGCAGGCAACACGCGGCCCACGGCGTTTACCGAGCGCTCTGGAACCGCACCGTCGCACAACACGGCAACGCTCTTTGCCGGTCGCCGCGCTCCGTCTGCAAGGTCACACTATCCTCCTTGTCGACCTCTCTCCGCCCGTCTCTCCTCTCGATCCTCGCATCGCATCTCACACTCTCTCCTGTCCTGTTCTCTTATCTTCTCTTTTGGGTTCTCTGTCTTCCGCCTCTCGAAACACTCGTTCTCACCATGGCCGGACAAGTGCCATTAGACGCGTAAGGTCGCATCACCCAGCCCTCTCTAACACGCAGGCAATTTAATCGCGCCGTCGACCTTGTGCAAAGGTACGCTACGCTTACGCACACGCTGACGACGCAGTCTGCCCAAGAGCGGGCCGGTGCAGACGAGCTATGAAGAAAAACTGCAGCTCTACTCGCTTTACAAGCAGGGTGCGTTAGGCTTGCGAGCGAGTTCGGGGCAATGGGTGGGCGGGGCGCACAGACGCCGCGCCCACATTGGAATGACGCTCACACCAGCAACGGACGGCGACAACGCCGCGCCCAGGCCCGGCATGCTCGACATGCTTGGTCGCGCGAAATGGTGCGTGCCAACTCTCTTATCAGCTGATGATAAGGGACTCGTGGGCGAAGCAGAAGGGTTTGTCGAAGCGCGACGCGAAGGCACTCTACGTCGGGGCCTTGTTAAAAGTGAGTATGGCATCTTTGTTGTTGTTGCCTCTGCCCCGTTCAGCACCTCGCCATCGCGGTGGGCGTGTGGCGCTGCCACGCTCAGCCTCGCTCGCCCACCTACCTCGGCCACCCGCGCAACTTCCGCTAACATCAGATTCTGCAACGGTTCGAAGACCGGGATCCCGATGCGCGCGCATGGAGCCAAGAGCTGGAAGCAATGGGCCCTCTGCCGCGGGCGCAATCTCCCGCGTCCTCCGAAAGCAGCTTCCACTCGTCGCGCGCGTCGCCGCCCCCCGACTCCGGATCGGGGGGGTACTACCCACCACCCGATCCGTCGCTGCCTGCGCCGGACGTCGCGCCGAACATAATCCCCCCGAGCGCACTCACGCCGTCGCACCGCTCGCTCGTCAACATCCCGCCCTCGTACCCGTACTCGGACACGGGCAACGCAGCGCCGCTGGCGCCGAGCATCGGCTCGCGCCCGCAAAGCTTGTTCGGCGGCTCCGCGCCGGACCGGGACCACCTCGCGGCGCTGCGCGCGCGCCGCGCGCCCGCCTCGGGCCTGGGCTACGTGCCCGAAAGCCCGTCGGGCCCCTCCCACCCGCTGCCGGCGCAAGCGCCGCCGCGTCCCGCGTCGCACCAGCCGCACCAGCACATGGCGCCGCCGCCGTTTGGGCCGCCGCGGTTCGCGTCTGTCCCGCCCGGCGCGCCGTACGCGCGCGACTTTGGCACGCCAGACATCTTCGCCATGCCCGCCGCGCAAAGCCCGTACCATCCCAGCCCGTATGCGCGGCCCGCGAGCGCGAGCACGTACAGCGTGCAGCCGCTCAACTTGCCCGCGACGCTGCAGCAGATCCACACGTCGCTGCAGGCGCTGCATGAGCGGCTGGCGACGTTGGAGCGGACGCAGAGCGCGCTGCTGCGGCGCGAGGAGCGGCGCGACGGGCGCGGGTGGTGGCCCTTCTCGTTTAGTGGCGAGGAGGATGTGCTCGACGACGCCGAGATGGCGGCCGAGCGCGAGTGGGAGCAGTACGACGAGAGCCGCGGCGCGTGGGCCCCGTACTCCCCTCACAGCCACAGTACGACCATCCGGCTGCGCAAGAAGAAGGGGCTGACGGCGCGCGTCGCGTGGGCGCTCATTACCGCCGTGAGGCGTGCGGTTATTGGTCTCGGCGCGGCTGTGTTGGTCGGCAGCATCGCGCTCCTGTTCGTCACACCGCGGTGGCAGCGTACACTGCAAATTGCGATGCGGCGCGCGCGGTTGCGCGTCGCACGCGCGCTGGCTGATCACTAGAGGTTGGGGTGGAGGCGTAGATGCATAGGGCCGTAGATACGCAGCATGTAGTCGCAGTTTGAATCTACATTGTGAGATGTAGTCTGCACACGGGGATCATGGCCGCGGGTGGTCCTCCCGGCTATCTCCGCTTGATCAGAACACCGACAGCCGATCTCCCATTACGCATCGTGGTACAATATGACACAGGCTGCATCCACTAGACTACATTATGCATGCCTACGCCAAATCGCTACCAGCGAGTCCTACCCTACTGGTCTACAGGCGGCGTCTGACAGTCTGACGATGTGGGGGTGCGCTCACCAACAGCTCCACTCACCGCGCCACCACACACGCTCAGAAGAACCGCCACCAGATGAACAGGATGAAGAAGAAAGCGATCCCACCAACCGGTGCCCACTTGCGGATCAGCGCGTCGATGTTGATCTGCCGCGCCGCCTTGCGGTACTTGGCCGACTCGGATCGCAGTGATGTCGACAGGTGCGACATGCCTGGAGTCAGCGTGCCTCCTGCAATGGCTACTCACGATCCAAGCTGTCGCCGCGCCACAGCAAATCCTCCATGTTCTTAGTCATGATGCGCGTCACGTCGCGCAAGTTCTCGTTGAGCTGGTCGAGCTGTGTCGTCGGCCCCGCGGCCTGCCCGCCATGCGTCAAGCTCCGCGAGTCGCGGTACAGGCGGGTTGTCTTGGAGATGAACGTGTCTGGAGTGAGCGAGGCTCGCGGGCCAACTTGTGGGCAGGCAGACTCACCAAATCCCATGAACGCATATGGCCGTGTCGCCGTCTCGACTTTGTCGCCGTACGAGCGCGAAAACTCCTTGCTCAACTCGTCGAGGTAGCTGAACGCCAGCTTGCGGGGGTAGGACCCCTCGCAGATGCACATGTAGATCACGGGCCCGACGATGAGGTAGCTGCAGGGTCAGCCGGCTGCGATGGGTTGCGCTCGTAGACTTACTGCAACGTGTAGTCGCCGCTCTCGATTGAGCATGCGGGCTCCGAGTTGGGCGTGAGGCGGCGGAACACGAGCTTGCTCTGCTGCTTGTACTCTGTGAGAGCCTTCTCAGTCTAGTGTGAGCACGCTTCTCTAAGTGACAGCGAGGAAAGAGGAGGGGAGGCAGTCTGAACAACACGCCTCTCGTGTGACAACTTCCACCCCTCGCCGCCACCACCTTCCTCCTCAACCACAGCGCCGCCGCACTCACCGTCTCGTCATCAACGCTCGCGGCAAGCGGGAGACCGTCGCTAACCCGGAAGATTGTAGTTGAGCGAACCATGGTGAGTGTGGAAGTAAGTAGGTGCTCTGTGAGATGTCGAATTCGACGAGACGGTATAAGCCGTTGAGCTCGACTAGGGCGCGTGCGTTTCGTCACCACCTCCACACCCTCCACGCAAACACCTACGTTTGATTCCGCCCTTCATTCATTCATCCTCCATCCACCAGCATCGCCGCATCGTGCAGAATAATAGAACATGAACTAGATGTAGCAATTATACCAGCGGGCTGGGTGCTGAACATGGCTGTCTATGAACCAAAAGAATGTCCTGGGTATATCACAATACTGTCGTCAGCCATGTCTTGGCAAGGAGGACTCACCGTACGTCGCCGGCACGACACCCTGTCGCCCAGTCGCCGGGTCGCGCGCGTACCACCACTCATCGCTCTGCTCGTCGTCGAGAATAATCACCCGCTGCCCCGCCTTCATGGACAGCTCACCCGACTGCAGTTCTGGCCCGCAGAAGTCGTACCGCATCACCGTCTCTCGCCCCTCATCGCTCCCTTCCCACGAGCCCGCCGCACCATACTCCTCACTCTCGAGTGGCGGTTGGTTGTACTCGGCCGCGTCGAGGTAGTGGCTGTCGGACGACTCGGCCGTACGGTGGTGAGCGTAGGCTCCCGCGCCGACGCCCGCTGCTCCCGCCGCAGCCATGGCCACGCCCGGGTGTTGTCCTGGTGCGTACTGTGCTGGTGCGAAACTCTGTTCCAGCGCAGTCTGCACATGAGAGTGGATGAGGTTGTGTGTGGAAGATCCCTCGCTGCGCACCTCGTCCTTCTCGTACATCTCCTGCGGTGGCCGGCGCTTGCGGTCCTGGCGTCTGAGGCAGAACGCTACCAGCAGGATAATCAAGACCAGCAGGAGAATGAGTCCGGTGGCGATCGCCATGGCGACCAGAACGACGAGGCCACGGGCGAGGTAGCGGCCGAGCGTGAAGCTGAAATTGGACTCGGACCAGAACAGCGATGAGCCAGCACCCATGTTGCCTGTCGCGCTGGATCCAACGAGGTAAGGATGCCATTGTGCGCCGTCGTACAGTGCCGAAGAAGCGTTACCTTGACCAGCGAGAAGGACGTTGCCGGTCGCCATGAGCATACGGTTCTCCTCGATGACGCCACGAGCCTCATGCTTCTTGGAGAGCGGGACGAAGGCGAGATTCTTGATAGAAGTGCCGTCCATGAGAAGCGACGAGTTCTGTTCGGACCACGCGGCGCCGTTCCAGTGCTGGAGGTAAGGCTTCGAGGTCGAGGCATCAAAGCCGGCCGCAAAGATGTTGGAGGCGTTGCCGTCATTGATGGCGATGGACTCCACCGGGCCAGGAAGCTGGCCAAGGGGTTCCCAAGCGCTGTTGGCGCCGCTCGCATTAAACGTGTACCGAGCAGCGTAAACGTTCCTGCCGCCAATAACAAAAGAGCCACCAGCAACAAGCACCTCACTCTTGGCACCACCGAAAGCAAGAGACTTGATCTCACCAGCCGACGGAGCGTTGTTGCCTACTCTGGTCCACTGGGTCTTGGCAGCGTTGAACTGACACACCACAGGGCAAGGAAGGTCGCCGACCTGGACGAAGTTGCCGCCAACGACAATGACGTCCGAGTCGGGCTGAGCCTTGATCGCATTGACGCTGACACTCTCGTTGGAGCCAGTCGACGGGGTCGACGGCATCGAGTTCGTCCACGAGTTGGTCTTGAGGTTCAGTGTGATGAACGACGTGTATGGTCTGCCAGCGTGGGTGATGTTGACGCCTGAGCCGCCAACGTAAAGGACGTCGTTGTGAACCTCTAGAGCGTAAACAACACCAGACACTGGACTCGGCGGGCCGTAGAGGGTGCCATCAGACTGGAACGCGACACCAGAGATGAGCTTGTCACCGGTGCCTTGGGAGAAATTGCCGCCAAGAATTGTGACCATCGCGTTATTGTCCGATGTGTTCTTGTAGTAGGCGCCAGTGAGGGCAGCGGGAGCCAAGTTGGCCTCATCAGTGTAGCCAGCGGGCTGGGCCGCAGCCTGGCGCTCGACCAACGAGCGGTGGATGCGGGAGATCCAGCGGGCGGTGTGCGAGCGTCTGGTGAGGTTGTTGGAAGCCGGGGCGGAACCCTGGTTGGAGAACGCAACACCCTCGAGGTTGGAGATCTGAGCAGTGCCATCCTTTATGGAGAGCGAGGCAACACCGTTGACAGCATTGCGCGAAAAGCCACGAATGCGGCCACCAATGTACGCGTCCGCGTTGGAGCTGGCAGCCGCCGCGGCATTACCGTATACAATGCCGTTGTTGGACCACCGGGATGTCGACGTGTCGTAGAGAGCGTAGCCACCAGTCGAAGTGCTGCCGTTGGCAGCTAGTACGCTGCTGAAGTTGCCGACGATCAGCAGGCTGTTCTTATACTGAACAATGCCGGTCACGGGACCGTCGACGCCGCCCTCGAGAGCCTCCCACTTCTTGCCTCCCAGGTCGTACCGAGCAAGTCTGTTGAGCTGGTCACCGCCGCTGACCGTGCTAGTGAACTCGCCGCCAACGTAGACAAATTGGCCGACCGTAACCGCCGCCGCCACAGGACCATTGAGGCCTTGCCCGGCGAGAGCGGTGATGATGCCAGAGCTCTTCTCCACGGCGACGACATTGGACCAGTCCTGGGTCTTGAAGGAGCCGCCGACAAAGAGCAAGTTGTCCGCCGGTACTACAGTGGCCACCCGGAAGTCTCGGGCCGCCGTTTGATTGTTGCTAGCGTCGAGAGAGAAGCCGAGGCGAGTAAGGCCGGTCTCTGTGAGGTTGGGGAGGAGAGAGTTGATCGCATTAAGGTTCCGAGACGAGCGGACGTACTCGTACACGCCAAAGGCGGTACGAACGGCTGCGGGTGTGGGAGCCGGAATGATCGAGCCAGAGGGGATTGAGCCGGAAGCGGACGGCCCCAGGGTCGCCGTGGGTATGATAACGACCGTGCTCCCGCCAATCGCGGTGGTGAAAGGCTGGGTTCCAGTAGGGGTGACGACAACGGTGCTTCCACCGACAACAGTAGTGACCGGTGCGGGGGTTCCAGCTTGGCCAATGCCCGCGCCAGCCGAGCCGCTGGCGCCGGGAGCCGCCTCCTGCCCAGTGCTCAAGCCAGTGAGTTGCAACTGGACGCCAGCGGCAACAACGACGTAGTCGGATGCGTCGACGCCGGCGGGCTGGTTGGGTAGGGCCACGCGGATGGTAGGGTTGAAAGTCGCGTTAGACGCATCGACAAGTCCATCGTAGATCAGCACTTCAGTGTCCTCGCTGACCCTCTGGTTGATGGTCGCGGTGTAGGGAGTGCCACCCTCGGTAGGGAAGATGGCAACGTCAACAGTGGTGCGGCTGGCGCAGTCGCCAATGTTGTTGCAGCCAGGGATTATGAGGTAGATCTTGTAGTAGCCGGCTGAGCCAACCCACGGGTAAAGAGTGATCGAGGTGTCGGACGGGCTGTTAACGGGCACTGTAGAGGCCATGTACCCCTGCTCAGTGCCAGCGATGTTGGACGGTGCGTTTGCGCTCTGCCAGTCGCCAATCGTGTGTATCGAGCTGTTGGACGGGCCACAGAAACCCTGGTTGTTCGCCTCGACCGCCGAGGCGTAAGCTCCATTAGAGAGAAGTTGGATGTAGTTGAGACCAGCGCCAGCACCCTGCCACGAGTCGAGGACAATGTTAAAGCCTGTCAAAGCACGCGAGCCGCCTTGGAAGAGGAAGTCTTGGGCATAGACGTTGGCGTCTGTGGAGAGCGGGCAGTTGTTGCTGCAGCTCTTCTCCTCGCCCGTCACTGGGTCTGTGTATCGGAGCGTCAACACCGTGTTGTCGGGAAGCGTCGTCACTGTGAACGATGTGGTGCCGCGTCCGTCGACAAGGGCGTTGGCCATGCGGATTCCGCTGCCGGTCAAGTATGAGTTGCCGAGAATGTTGATGGTGGCCACAGAGGCGTCGCGGGCAAGCCACGGTCCAGCGTTGGGGCACACCAGTGCGTTTGCATCATTAAACCCGTCCTGGGTAGTGGCGGGCGCGGCGTTGACACTCAATCCTCCATACTGGGAGGCTGCGGCTGGGATTGTGACTGGCACGAGGTAACCGGAATCTCCTGTTGTGATGGTGTTTGGTGGAGCAAAGGGCGCAGAGGCCAAGGTGCGCACTGTTGTGTTCGAGGTGTCTGCAAACAGGGTCGTGAACTCGCCTCCAAAGTAGAGGCTGCCTCCGTCCGAGCTGGACGAGATTGCGCGCACACGGCCGTTGAGGCCACCAAACGGTACTGTTGCCCACGCGGATGATTGTGTTGACCAGCGGCCGACGTTGCCCAGACTTTCTGGTGCTGAGAAGAAACCGCCTGCCCATACATCATGGTTCGCGTCATCGCAGTAGAGGGCTTCGACAGGTCCAGAAATGCCGGCGCCCAATGCTGAGAACTTTGCCTCTGATGGCGAGTAAGATACGATGCTGTCGGCATTGATGCCGCCAAACTGTTGAAAGTCGCCGCCGATGTACAGTGTGTTGTCGTTGGACCAACACATGGCCGCGATCCGGCCTCCGTCGTTTGTTGTCCCGACAGGGGTCACTGTCCCATCGTCTGCTCGCATAACAAGGGTGTCGGCCGTGGCAGAATATGAGACCCGTGTGCCATTGTCAGCGGCTCTAACGGCAAACGGAGATTGTGATGAGAACCAGTCGAGGCCAGCGAACGAGCCACCAAAGCCGACCTGGCCCATCTTGGCAAAGTCGACTGATGGCAAATCACTGGGTGCTGGGGTTGCTGCCAAGGCTGCGGGCGCGAGAATGGCGGCGGTGGCGACAGCAAACGCCCCCAGGCGCCTTATTGGGGGTTTGCGCGGCATGGTGAAAGGTGGAGCGGAGGGGCGATGGATCGTGAGTGGTGTGATGAGGGAGGGAAGGGAGATGATGTCGAGATGAGGGGTGAACCCCCGACTGAACTGATGTTATAGGCACGTGCGGGAGACGGGGTGTTGTAGGGCTGTTGAAAGACGATGAGGAGATGAGAGAGGCCGTTGTGGGACGTTGTGTGGGGGAGGGTGGGAGGGTGTAGCGTGTGTTTGTGTTTATGGTAAACGAGAGTGTGGCTGAGAGTCGAGGTGGAGAGACGATTCAATCAGACGAAGTGCAGGCCAAGGCCAAAGGTCATGTTCGATTGTTGATAGCAAGAAGAGATTCGAGGGGAATCAAGGCGATGTCGTTCGAAACGGGGGGAGGGGAGAAAGAGATGGCGAAGAGAGAGAGAGA